TGCCACTGCCTGTGCATACAGTGGTTGGGGAGATGAACAAATACAGTATAGGGCGACATATAAAGCAAGAAAGATATACTTGTTCTTGATCTCACTACTTTTGAGCTGGAGATCTCAATCTACTCTAAGCCTCAAGCGCCTTACCTATAAAATGAGAATGATGTAACAGCACCTTGCCTTGCAGAGTTGAGAGGATTAGAGACAAGGTATATAAGGCACCTAACACAAGTCCTATCCTATAGTAAGTAGCTGCTCAATAAATGATTGTCATTACTGCAGCTGATATGATGATGACAAGAAGTAACAGAGCCATTGATCTTAAAGACAAGACCTAGAAGACTGAGTCCATCTCATAAAAAAAAAAAGGAAGATGGGTTCAAGTCCACTCTATGATAACATATAATCCCACTGACTTATTAGAAGAAAGGTATTTCACTGCAAAGCAATATATGGCCCATAAGGGCTGCTAGAAGGGAGGAAGAATATTCTAGGCTCCAGTAAAGGAGCACTGACTGTGATGAATGAATTTTGGCAGACATGTATGGTTTTGACAAAGAGGAACAGAACGCTGAAAGGGAGGACACATGAACAAGCATTTCTCCCTCAGTGACTGCCAGTCCCCCAGGCCCCACGCCCGCAACTCTTCTACACTCACAGGAATATAAATAAAACTAATCCCCTTCTTTCATCCGAGCATTTTCTCTTCTGGCCTCTGGCTGATGGGTCTGTAATCCCTACCCAATCCCTGTTGCACTCATCTCAGCTCTGCTTCCCATCTGCTCACAGCAAACAGCTCACCCAGGGAAGGAACCCTCCCAGGAAGAGAGAGGAGCTGGGGAAGAAATCACTGGCTAGTAGAGGTTTTATCACTGAAGGATGAGATCTCACTGAAGAGATTCTCAAGTAAGGACGTTAAGATTTGGTTATGACCCAAAGCGCCTGGCACATAGTAGGGGCTCAATATATATTTACAGAATGAATTAATTTTTAAAGGGGAAGTTCAGGTCTGTGTTTCCATGGGGCTGAACTAACACTGTTATCCTGAGCAACTCTGATCCCAAAAACACACTAGAACTTCAAATGGGGAAGGGACCAAGGACAAGCCCTTTAGGACACAAGACGGAAAAGAAAGAGCAAAAAGTAAGGCTGGCCTTTAGAGCCTCAGGTGGTTGATTTCATTAGGTGCTGGTTTTGGAGGGGCCAATATATCCCAAGTCATCTCTATTCCTCTGTAGATTCATCTCCAACAGGGTCCAAAGTCCTTGACCTCGATTCCATACATCACTGGCTTCTCTATTATCATTATCTACCTTTGATTATGGGGGAGGAGGTTCTCTTTTCATAACTTACAGCCCCTTGTTTTCCCTATATGGCCATTGACTCTTTAAGACCAGGACTTTATGTAATAATTCTGGCTAACGTGATGCCCAGCAGGATGAGGTCAAAAAGAATGAGCATGAACATGCCCACCACACAGAGGTCAAAGAGCAATGATCGTAGTATATATGTGGGACATTCACCAATGGGAGAGTGTTTAAGAAAACTCAGAATCCTTGCCTTACTTGGAAGACTTGAGGAGGAACCTGAGCTTAAGCATCACTTCTTCTGGGAAGTGTCCCCACTCCCTAATGCCCTGTCACCATCTCCCACAGGGTATTCCTGCAGTTTTATCACAAAGATGACATCATATGTCTGTTTCTTGGGTATCTCCCTGTTTGTCTGGGAAACTCTTAAGACCCAGGAAAATGTGTTCACTGTTACACCCTAGCACCATCCCAAGGACCTGGCACACAGTAGGTGCTTAGTAAATGTTTACTGAATGTTTAATAGGTAACTAACTACCTATTAAAGAGGGCCAGGCAAGAGGATCCTGGACAGCAATCATCTGGACTCAGCAGATCCAAAGTTCAGCTAGCAAGAAATCAGCAGGAATCGCCTTGTGAGATAGGGTAGGTGTAGGCATTGCACATTCCTGGCGAGCCTGTCCTAGTCACTGAAGAAGCTGACTGCTGAGAAAGCCCACCAGGAGGAGCAGTGCAAGAGATTAGTCAGTTCTTGTGACCATGGCCTCAGGAGGGTGTGCCCTTCAGTGTGGATGCTGCTCCCAACAGGGCAAGTTTGAGGGATTCATACTTCCTGGGGTGGGTTATTATCATGAATCACCTCCTTTCACCCTCCTAATGACCCTAGGGGAAAGGTATGAGGATCCACTTTACAGGTGCAAGTCTGAGATCTCAGTCCTATAGACTCCAGAGCCTAACAGGTGCTTAGCACAGGCTCACAATGAAACATTATACACAACCACATATCCTCAGAGTAGATGGAGGCCTTAAACCACCCGATTTGCCTCCCCTTCTTCAAAGATACTCAAATCCCTACAACATGCAATGTTCCAACAAATTCTTGCCTCCTCCCTCCCATGCTAGAGGATCCACAATCTCTCCAGCCAGCCTAGCTGATCCTTGGGCAGCGCTGACCACTAAAAATGCTTTAGTGCAGAATCATAATTTCCACCCGACAACTTCACATCTTCTCCCTGTATCTATCTATACAGAGCAAACCTAACCTTCAGCACATGACTGTCCTCCAGCTCTCTGGAGGCGGTTATCAGCTCTCCTCCCCCAGGGTTTAGAAAGATGCCTCAGAAACAGATTGCATAGGCTGCTCAGTGTGAAACTGGTTTCATGCAGATTAACAAATGTCTTTCCCTGATAAAAGAAATCAAGAGAGAAGATGGTTATCTGTGGCAGTGAGAGCTGTCTCTGTCCTGGGGGGAGGGGGAGAGAGGGACTGGACTAGAAACCAAAATTTATATAACCTTAACAACAGTCTTCAGGAAAACATTAATATGGAGATCAACCAAATTCTTTGTTTTACAAAGGAGGAACAGAGAAGCAGAGAGGGAAAATGACACAAAGGGCCCTAGCTGGTTTGACTCAGTGGATAGAGTGTAGGCCTGTAGACTGAAGGGTTCCAGGTTCGATTCCAGTCAAGGGCATATGCCTGGGTTTCGGGCTCGATCCCCCGTAAGGGGTGCGCAGGAGGCAGCCGATCAATGACTCCCTCTCATCATTGATGTTTCTATCTCTCTCTCCCTCTCCCTTCCTCTCTGAAATCAATAAAAATATAGTTGTTGTTTTTTTAAAAGAAAATGACACAAAGGAACACAGTTACTAAGTGGCAGGGTCACAGCTAGGCCCTTTGAATTTATAGCCAAGTCCCACCCTTCTCCCTGCTCCAAAGCCCTAGAGCACCTGTTATTTCAGAACTGCAATCCCATAATAACTGCATTTCCCTAACAGCTGCACTGCCTACAGTCTCACTTTCATCACCACCCCAAGAGGTAAAGCAGGGAACAGCATTAGCTCCCTATTCCAGGGAGCAATAAGGAAGCTTGAATTTATACTTGGAATTCAAAGCTTGGTGAAGATTCTTTGCTATTTGTTGACAATGGGCTATTGAAAGAGGCCATAGGGTATCTCCCTAACTAAGAAAGGGAAGGGAACGGCCTCTACCTGCTCTTCAGTTTGCACTGTTTCATGATGGCTGGGTGTGCTGACATGGGAAGACCTTCAAAACCATACTCCTCTTCCCTTTCTGCCTCCCAACCAGCGTGCATCAGAAAAAGAGCCCCAGGATCACCAGCTCTGTGACCTGGGGCATCCCTCCTACTCAGGTTGAGCTCTAGTCTCCTCACCTACAAAAATAGTGGCACCCGGCCAGCGTGGCTCAGTGGTTGCGCTGTGATCTATGAACCAGAATGTCACAGTTTGATCCCTGGTCAGGGCATATGCCCTGTTTCTATCTCTCTCTCCCTTCCTCTCTGAAATCAATAAAAATATATTTTTTAAAAAAATAATGGCAATATATTCTGCCCTATGAGTAACCACTATGAAGCTGAGACCACAGAAAGCAGGTAGGATGCAGAGTGACTCACTCCCACAACTGTCTCTTCCCTCCTCTTGCTTCCTCACTGACCTGCCTCCTCTGCTGCCCTACTACCTAGAGCAGGTGAACGGTCATGAAGATCTCACCCAAGGGAGGGAAAAGGAAAACAATTGTGACATCATCCTATTAGTTCCTCACACTTGTATGAGGTCTCTATTTTTCCAAAGAGCCTTAACAATTAGTAGCATTATGTTTACCATTTCCTAGTCCCCTATGTGCCGCACACCACACAAGGGGGTTCTGTGTGCTCTCTTGGGGTTAGTCCTCACAACCACCCACTTTACAGATGACAATACTTGGACTCAGAAGTTAAGGGATAGACAGCTAGTGCTCCTGCACAAGCTCCCATGCAGATGGACTACTTTTGTCAAGAGCTAGATTTTTAATTCTCTTCAGGCAGAGCCTGTGCCTAAACTGCACTCAATAATTATTTGTCGAATGAGTCTGTGAATATCTGACTCAAAAACCTATTATGCTTTAACACTTCTCTATATTAATAGTCTCATTATGTCATTTCATCTCATAACAAATCTCTAAGGCATGATCGTCCCATTTGACAGATAAGGAAAGAGTGGCTGGAAAGAGTAAGTCGCCTAAGATTTTACAGCCTTTGTGCAGCAAGGCTGGAGGCGGGCTACCTTCAGATCCTTTGCCCCCGCCACAGCCGTCCTGGGGGTTCTGGGGGAATTAATAATTATAGACCGCCGGGGCTGGACCCATCTCCGCACTCACCAGCTCACAGCTCAGGGGGTCACCCAGGAACCCTGAGCTGCTCCCCGGGAGAGGGGGCAGGTGGGCCGGGCATCCCTCAGGAGGGAAACAAGGGGAGGAGGGGGAGGCCAGTGCTGGGCGTAGTGCCAGGCAGCAGCGGGCACGAGGTGACCCCGATCTCACAGAGAGCTCGCCCAGGCCCAAGCACCCCCGCGGACCCTCGCTCCGGACTAACTCTGTCCAGCTTGGGGGTTAGCGGAGGGACGGGAGGCTACAGGCTTCCAGGAAAATCGCAGTCCAGCGATGAATCACCGGCACATGATCCCGGTAGGGAGGGGGGGTGGGAATGGGCGCGGGATGTGGCCGCGGCTTGCGGAGCGCAGGCCTCGCGCGGCCCCCCTCCAGCCTGGACTCGGGGAGAGAAGGGAAGTCCCTCTCCCGCGCGGCTCCACCCTCCGCAGCCCCGGCCCGCCGGGCTCCCGGGGGCGGCGGGACTCACGGCCTTCAGCTGCTCCAGCCGGTCCTTCATCCTGGTGCCCAGGCGCCCGAGGCAGGTGAGCGCGTCCGCAGTGAGCGCGTCCCAGGAGAGCGGCCGGAAGTGGCGACCGGGCCGGGCCGGGCGTGGGAGGCGGAGGTGGGCGGCGGCGGCGGCCGGCTAGGAGGAGCGTCCGAGGCTACGGGAGGCTCGGCCGCGCCGCCCTCTCCGGCCCCGCCGGCGCCGCGCTCCAAATCCGGCTCCCGGGCCAGCGCCGGCTCGCAGTGCTGATCCGCCCGCGGCCCCGCCCCTCACCTGGGCCGCGCCCCGCGCTCCTCCTTAAAGGGGCCGTGCCCCGCCGCCGCCACGCCATCCTCGGCTACCCGAACTCCTCCTGCTCTGGCTCCCCGTCCCGCTAGGGAGCGGAGAAGTCTAGGAAGAGGACCGTGCGCCGGTAGGTCCCGCCGCTGGGCGCAGAAGAGCGAGTAGGGCTATTTGACCTCAATTCCATTCGCTTCCATTCGACGACCATTCGCTACCTGTGCCACATTTTGTATTAGGATCCGACCCTCAAAAGACTCATTCATTGCGGGGCGGGGACAAAGTATCGTAGACGAAAAACTCTAACCCAGTGTGATTCCTGCTATAATGGGTGGGAGAGGGGCATTCTAATATCGTAATTTGAACAGCTGATAGAAGGTGGTCCTAGAGCAGTGGTTCTCAACCTTCTGGCCGTTTAAATACGGTTCCTCATGTTGTGACCCCAACCATAAAATTATTTTCGTTGCTACTTCATAACTATAATGTTGCTACTGTTATGAATCGTAATGTAAATATCTGATATGCAGGATGGTCTTAGGCGACCCCTGTGAAAGGGTCGTTCGACCGCCAAAGGGGTCGTGACCCACAGGTTGAGAACCGCTGTCCTAGAGGCAATAACTGGAAGTGAGACGCGAAAGGTCAGGCTGGAAGGAAGAATTTGGATTTCATGATGTTGGCAGTCGGGACCCTTCACAGACATGTTAAGCAGTTCAATGTTGAAGTCAGCACACCTGCCACTGACAATTTGTACAACTGGGAAATCACCATGGGGGGGGGGGGGGCTGTTTCCATATCTATAAATCAGGGATAATACCCACTGTGACAGAGGAGGAATGATTGATTGGTAAAGTATAGAGCAAGGTTGTAGGTAAAAAAAATATTTTTTATTGGGAAGCTTAAGTCATTCTCGCTTCCTACGTGGTGCAGATTCCCAGGTGAATTATACCTTCTGAAAAGGGGTGCGGTCTTCACACTAGCGCTCTTCTTTGTTCTCTCTCCTCCCTCCCCCTTCTTTCTTCCCTATTTGTCCTCCTTCTTGGGAATAACATACCCAGCAAGACTGGCTCTCCATAAATGGGACTGACAGTCTGACAGTCCGAAGACTCATTTCTCAAGTCAAGAAAAGAATCTGCTCTATGCATTCAGGTTAAAGGGCTGTAATATTTTTCGTAATTCTAACAGACTTTTGCCTTCTTCTGCTATCTCAGCGTGTGCTCCATGCTGATTTCATCGCCTCCCATAAAGATACTTACAGTCCGTGAGTGGCCATGCTGTTTGAACCCTCTTTGGTCCTGAATGCTTCCTTCTATGCAGGTGTTAGCTAGGTGGAGTTTCCCATCTGCGGTACAAAAGGCGTCTGCGCCCCCTGGGGGCCATGCACAGAAAAACAGCGTAATTCAGAGATACAGGGTGTCCCCCAAAAATGTACTCACCCTTTAATAGCCGATAGATCAATTTTTGAAAATGAAATGTAAACACTGCCGTTATAATTATTCAAAGTGAGTGTATACATTTTTGGGACACCCTATATATCCCATCTCCTCTTAATCTTTGTTGGGATAGCTAGGTCCCCACACCTCAGGAAAAGAGGGTCTCCTGACTCTAAACACAGAGTTTTGCCACAAAACAGCTGTCACTTGACATCACACAATCTATTTTCTCATCTTTCAAGTAAGAGAGATGATCAAAACTAATGATTCCTATTCTTCAAGGTAAAAAATATAATGTATTCTTTATTTTCATTTGTAGTTTTGAAAGATGCTATATCCCTAAAATATTCGTACTATGTAATAACAAATTTTATTTCCTCAAACTCAGATACAGAACATAGACTTGTGGTTGGGAAAAAAGGAGCAAAATGGGTAAAAGTGATCAAGGGTACAAACTTTCAATTATTAGATAAGTTAGTTCTGGGGATGTATAGCATGGTGACTATAGTTATCAATACTACATTGTATATTTGAAAGATGCTAAGAGAACAAGTTTCCATCATAAGAAAAAATATTGTAACTATGTGAGATGATAGCTGTTAACTAAATTTGCGGTAACCATTTTGCAATATATGTATATATCAAACCATTGTTACATGCTTTAAACTATTATGTCAATTATTGCTCCATAAAATTGAGTGGGTGGGATTTGATTTCCTATGAGAGGATGTTTCCATGAAGAAGAAAAAAAAAAGACCTTTTGGTTAGCCTGTGTGGCCATACAGAGATAACTATATGATTTTCCTTACTTCTTTTTTTTTTTTTTTTATTGATTTTTTACAGAGAGGAAGAGAGAGAGACAGAGAGCTAGAAACATCGATGAGAGAGGAACATCGATCAGCCGCCTCCCGCACGTCCCCCACTGGGGAAGTGCCCACAACCCAGGCACATGCCCTTGACCGGAATCGAACCCGGGACCTTTCAGTCCGCAGGCCGACGCTCTATCCACTGAGCCAAACCGGTCTCGGCTCCTTACTTCTTAAAACACTGAAAACTGTGTTCAAAGAGTCCTCTTAAGAACAAGTGGAGTGCCCTGACCAGTTTGGTTCAGTGGCTAGAGCGTCGACCTGTGGACTGAAGAGTCCCAGGTTTGATTCCGGTCAAGGGCATGTACTTTGGTTGTGGGCACATCCCCAGTAGGGGATGTGCAGGAGGCAGCTGATGGATGTTTCTCTCTCATGAATGTTTCTAACTCTCTATCCCTCTCCCTTCCCCTCTATCCCTCTCCCTTCCCTTCTATCCCTCTCCCTTCCCCTCTATCCCTTTCCCTTCCCTTCTATCCCTCTCCCTTCCCCTCTATCCCTCTCCCTTCCTCTCAATAAAATATATTTTTTAAAAAAGAACAAGTGGAGTTCAGGGACTCAGGAAGGGAAACATCAGCAATTCTTTTATGATCACACTAGGGACCCAGTGCACGAATTCATGCACCTTAAAAGGAACTGTAGGCTGCGAGGCTGCGGTGGGCACAGGGACGGGTCTCAGCCCATCCTCCACGCCCCTGCCCGGCCCCTCCCACTGTGCCCCCCCCCCCATCCCCTGTCTGCCAGCAGCCCCACTCCCACTGCCGCTGCTCCCATGCACTGATGGCACTGGCCCCACTTGTACCCGCTGATGGCACAGAGCGATTGGGGCCAGCACCAGCAGCAGGTGCTGCCCTGATCACCTCTCAGGAGCAGGGGGAGGTGGAGAAGACCTGAGGGGCAATCGGGGCTGGTACCAGGAGCTGGCAGCAGGTGTGAGTACCAAGTGGGACCTCGGCGTACAAGAGCAAATAATTTTCAGTAACCGCCAGAAGCTCACCTTGATGACAGCAACCAGTGCCCCACCTTGGTCTGGTGTCCCCACTCACCTGCTCCACCATCCCACCACAGCCAACACCTGCCATGTTCCGTGTGCACCCCCTGGTGGTCAGCACACATCATAGTGACTGGTTGTTTGGTTGTTCCCCTATTTGGCCTATTTGCATATTAGGAATACACACACACACACATTCCATTGGAAGGTAGTTATATATTTCAAGCCTTCTTTAAACCTCCTAGTAGGTATGAACTCTACTTAGTCAATTTTATCTTAACATTAATATTTGCTCTTTCCTGACAGGAAGAAGTCTGGATTCCACCTGCTAGTTGTGCACAAAAACCTGAAGAAAGTAAAGTAACTGCAAGGCATGGGACCTGAGCTAGTGGACTGGTATGGAAAACCCTGATATTGAGGCCAAGTGAATTCTAGGGTCTCCACGTAGGTGAACAGTGACTTAAGGATCCAGGCTCAGTGTTCTCGCTGATGTATTTTCATATTTATGCCACACAGTGGTACTTGATTTTACACCCACTAGGTCTTAGTGTAGCTATTTTCCCATAAAACAGTCAGGATTCATTCAAGTGTTTGCATTTTGGTTATAAATATATCAGCCAACACTTAATTTCACCTTTACAAACAAACCAAAGACAACTCCTGGGACTTGGGGTTTCACTGCCTTCTCTCTCCACCCTGTAAGCCTATTTCTTTCCCAGTGGAGAAAAGAACTGAACCTCACCCCATCTAGACCGCCAGAGCCTGCTGTGAAACAGGTGAGACCACTTTCTGGTTGGTGTACCTTGAGGCAGTATCTCCAGAGTGTGGTGTTCAGTACTGACATATCTCAGAGGGGAAGAGGGGGGAAGATGGGAAGAGATTAACCAAAGAACCTACATACATACTAGAGGCCCAGCACGCACAAAATTGTGCGAGTAGCTCACTTCCACTTCTGCTCGCCTTAGCTGGCCACCCCACCCGCTGCGAGAGCGCTTCTCGTTTGGTCATGACGGCATTACAGCGTCATGGCCACAGGCCTTTTATTAGTATAGATATGCATAACTAGTGAACACAGACAATAGTGTGGTGAAGGCCTGTGGTGGGGCAGGGGCTGGGAGGAGGAGGGTAAAAGGGGGGAAATTAGAAGACATCTGTAATACTGTCAACATCAAAAAAAGATAAGGGAAGCTAGAGAATTAAAGGGAAGAGTCTTTCTGTCCTCCACAGCTATTGCTCCCCATGGCAGGAAGGATAGACAATAACCAGGATGGAGAATAAAATCTCTGACTTGTAGTTTTGCCCCCTTACAGTTTGTATGTTCTCTATGGCTGCATAACAAGTTGTCCTAAAACTTCTGTGATTCAGGAATCCAGGTGCAGCTCAGCTGAGTGCCTCTGTGTCAAGATCTCTCACAAGACTGCAGGGAAGGTGTTGGCTGGGGCTGCAGTCCTATTTCATGCCTGACTGGAAAAGGGTCTGTTTCTAAGGTTACTCACATGGCTGTTGGCAGGATTCAATCCTCAAGGGCTGTTGGGCAGAGGGCCTTGGTTCTTTGCTCACTGGAGGCCACCCTCCTTGCTATGTGGGCCTCTCCATAAGGCAACCCACAAAATGGCAGCTGCCTTCTATCAGAGTGAGCAGGCAAGAGAAAAAGAGATAGAGAATGAGAAAAAGAGAAAGAGATGGATGGAAGCCAACGTGTTTTTACCTAATCTTAGATGTGATATCCCATCGATTTTGCCATATTCTGTTCATTAGAAGTGAGTCACTAGGCTCAACCCCCAATCAAGAGAATGAAGACCAGGAGCCTGATACACAGTTCAAATCCCAATTAATGCCAAAGTTATGCTATTTCACCTTTGCAGAGCTCTGCCCTCCCCCATATCTGACTTGGACAACTATGGACCCATTCTTCAGGGCTCCGAGATCCTCACCCACCAGGACTGAGTTAAGTGGCCCTTGAGCTGCCTCTATGATACCCTAGGCTTCTCCATCATAGCCTCCACCACACCAATTACAAGGGCATGGTCTGCCTCCTGCCCCTTCTGCAAGCTCTGTGCAGGCAGCAGCCTTGTCTCTTCTCCTCATTGATGTGGACCCAGACCTAAACTTAAGACCAGAAATGTACCAGACACTTCGTATATGTGTACTAAACTTATTAACTGAATGTTCTTGTAAGACGACTCCGTTTTCTCTTCTGATTAAAACTCCTCAGTTGGCTTTTTATTACAAAGAGGAGGGAGTCCAGACTCAGAATGGCTTTCAAATAACTCCCATGTATTGTCACTCCCTGACAATGTGTATCTCTCATATTGATGTTTCTCTCTGTATGTCTCTCCCCCTCCCTTCCACTCTCTCTAAAAAAAAAATCAATGGAAAAAAAATCCTTGAGGGAGGATTAACAACAAAAGAATCAATAAATTAAAAAAATAAAAATTGGGGTTTTATATGTTTTATAGCCATTTAAATTTTATGGGTTTTTCTAAAATGCTTAAAGAATTTAAAGTCTTTGTATTTTACTTTATTTTTTAAAAAAATATATTTTATTGATTTTTTACAGAGAGGAAGGGAGAGGGATAGAGAGTTAGAAACATCGATGAGAGAGAAACATCAATCAGCTGCCTCCTGCGCACCCCCCCACTGGGGATGTGCCCGCAACCAAGGTACATGCCCTTGACCACAATCGAATCCGGGACCCTTGAGTCCGCAGGCCGACGCTCTATCCACTGAGCCAAATCGGCTACGGCTTTACTTTATTTTTTTAATAAATCTTTATTGTTCAGATTATTACAGTTGTTTCTCTTTTTCCCCCATAGCTCTCCTCCACCCGGTTCCCACCCCAGCCCATGCCCTCCCCACCCCCCGCCACTGTCCTTGTCCATAGGTGTAAGATTTTTGCCCTTCCCCCTGAGAATTGTCAGTCCACTCCCTTTCTATACCTCTGATTCTATTATATTCACCAGTTTATTCTGTTCGTTAGATTTTTTATTCACTTGATTTTTGGATTCACTTGTTGATAGATATGTATTTGTTGTCCCTTTGTTGTTCATAATTTTTATCTTTACCTTTTTCTTCTTCCTCTTCTTAAAGAATACCTTTCAGCATTTCATATAATACTGGTTTGGCGGTGATTAACTCCTTTAGCTTTTTCTTATCTGTGAAGCTCTTTGTCTGACCTTCAATTCTGAATGATAGCTTTGCTGGATAAAGTAATCTTGGTTGCAGGTTCTTGGTATTGATCACTTTGAATATTTCTTGCCACTCCCTTCTGGCCTGCATAGTTTCTGTTGAGAAATCAGTTGACAGTTGTATGGGTACTCCCTTATAGGTAACTAACTGTTTTTCTCTTGCTGCTTTTAAGATTCTCTCTTTGTCTTTTACCCTTGGCATTTTAATTATGATGTGTCTTGGTGTGGTCCTCTTTGGATTCCTCTTGTTTGGGGTTCTCTGCGCTTCCTGGACTTGTAAGTCTATTTCTTTCACCAGGGAAAACTTTTCTGTCATTATTTCTTCAAATAGGTTTTCAATATCTTGCTCTCTCTCTTCTTCTGGCACCCCCTTAATTTGGATGTTGGTACACTTGAAATTGTCCCAGAGGCTCCTTACACTATCTTCATATTTTTGGATTCTTTTTTCTTTTCCAGTTGGGTATTTTTTGCTTCTTCGTATTTCAAATCATTGACTTGATTCTTGGGATCCTCTAGTCTGCTGTTGGATCTCTGTATATTATTCTTTTTAAAAAATATATATTTTTATTGATTTCAGAAAGCAAGGAAGAGGGAGAGAGAGATAGAAACATCCATGATGGGAGAGAATCATGGATTGGCTGCATCCTGCAAGTCCCCCACTGGGGATCGAGCCCACAACCCAGGCATGTGCCCTTGACCGGAATCGAACCTGGGACCTTTCAGTTCACAGGCCGATGCTCTATCCACTGAGCCAAACCGGCTAGGGCTCTGTATATTATTCTTTATTTCAGTCAGTGTATGCTTAATTTCTGATTGGTCCTTTTTCATATCCTTGAGGGTCTCACTAAATTTCTCAGAGGTTTCTAGAAGATTCTTGAGTAACCTTATAACCGTGGTTTTGAACTCTATATCCACTAGTTTGCTTTCCTCCATTTCTGTCATTTGTGACATGTTTCTTTGTCTCCGCATTTTGGCTGCTTCCCTGTGTTGATAGAGTGGCCTTGTGTGGTGGGTTGTCCTATAGGGCCCAGTTGTTCAGTCTCCCCAATTACCTGGGGTGGACACTCTTGGTGCAACGCTTTGTGGGCTGTGTGCACAGTCTTGTTGTAGTTAAGCCTTGACTGCTGTTTGGTATCACTGAGAGGAATTGACCTCTAGGCCAATTGGCTGTGAGGACCAGCTGTATCTACAATGGGAGAACTGCTGTGCTGGAGACACCCTCATGGGGCAGGACTTTCTTCAGTGGGGCTTTGGTGCTCACTGAGTCTGCCCCTTGAGTGTGTCGCTTATGGATGTGAAGAGTTGTAATCTGGTATGGTCTCACACTGATCACTGGGTACACTGACTCTTGGATCTCCAAGGGGGTTCAAAGTCAGCCAGTGCCTGAGGCCACCCAGCAGGCGCTACAGAGACATCTGCAGATTCCTCCTCTTTGCTTGGGGTTTGGAAGTGCCCAGATGAGGCCCAGCTGTGAAGTAATGCAGGCTGCTACTGCGGGGCCTTGGGCCTTCTTTTGGAAGCTTTGGAGCTCTCTGCCCCAGCTGCAGTTTGTTAGGTTTTAGGTAGCAAAAGGACAAGCCGCTGCAAAAGCTGCTGCGCACAGCTTGGGTGGGGTTGTAAATTGGGTGGGGCAGGGTCTCAGGGAATCACCAGGGTGGAGCAAACAGCAATGGCTGCCAGTCAGCCCTGCTCCAGAGAGGTCCCTGGGTCTCTGTGTCCCACGGCCCCATGCAGGAACAATGATCGCTGCGAGCACCTCTGAGAGAAAGCCACTCTCGTGTTCCAGCCTGATGCCAGACAGTCCAGTTTCTCCCTGTATGCGTCTGGGTCCCCAGAGTCTCACTTGAAACTGGAGTTCAGAGCAATCAGGATCTTGTATCTCCCTCCTGATTGAAAAATACAACAGCACACCCAGTTGCCAGCCAGTTTCATGCGTGCCTCTGCACCTCCACACCTCTTACCAGTCTCCATGCGTTTTTTTCTTTCCTTCTAGTTGTAGAACTTCCACTCAGCCAGCTTTCCCATGGTTCTGGATGATATTTGTTTTGTCTTTTAGTTGTAGTTTTGATGTGGTTGTGAGAGGCAGCAAGTACAGGCGTTTACCTATGCTGCCATCTTGATTGTCTCCCTGTATTTTACTTTATATATGTAGAAAATATTTTTAGTTTGTCAATGATTATATTTTTCATTATGAAATTTGGTATCCAAATTTTGCTTTGTGATTTTCATAGCAATTAAATTCTGAAATTTTATCCTGAAATCATAAAAATATTCACCTACATTTTGTTCTTGCTTTATGTGTAAAATTTTACATAAAACTTAACATTCTGGAATTTATTCTGGTGTAAGCTATGCTATAAGGATTTAACTTTTTGCCCCAAATAAGTAATCAATTACTTCAGCATAATTTTTAAATTACATTTCCTTTATCTATTGAATTGAGATGTCACCTTTGTCATATATAAATGAACTTTTATGCTAAGTTGTTTATTGCTTACTCTGTTCTGTAAGTCAATCTGTATATATTCCCATACCAATACCTCCTTATTTACAAGTATTTTATAATCACTTACATCATAATATTAGAATCTATTTTTCCATAAATTTGCCATGATTAAAACAAACAGGCCTTCTTTCAAACAGGCTGTGGTGGTTTTAAAATATGTCCATAAATTCTTTGTTACCCCTTCCTTTATAAAGATCTCCTTATACCCTTCCCTTTGAATATGGACTGTACTTAATAACTTATTTCTAACAAATAGAATGTGGAAGAAGTGATACATATGACTTCTGAATCCCAGTCATAAGAGATATTGTGACCTCACTCTGGGAGAAGCTGCCATGTCCTGAAGACAATCAAGAAACCCTATAGAGCCGAAACCGGTTTGGCTCAGTGGATAGAGCGTCAGCTTGCAGACTGAGGGGTCCTGGGTTCAATTCCGGTCAAGGGCATGTGCCTGGGTTGCGGGCACAACCCCAGTGGGGGATGTGCAGGAGGCAGCTGATCGATGTTTCTCTCTCATCGATGTTTCTAGCTCTCTGTCTCTCTTCCTTCCTCTCTGTAAAAAATCAATAAAATATATTTTAAACAAAACAAAAAAAAAGAAACCCTATAGAGCCCTAGCCTGTTTGGCTTAGTGGATAGAGCATTGGTCCTCAGACTGAAGGGTCTCAGTTCCATTCCAGTCAAGGGCACATACCTTGGTTGCAGGCTTCATCCTGGTCAAGGTGCATCCTAGTCCAGCCAGTACAGGAGGCAACCCATTGATGTGTCTCTCTCACATCAATGTTTCTTTCTCTCTGTCTATCCCTCTCCCTTCCACTCTCTCTAAAAATCAATGGAAAAACATCCTCAGGTGAGGATTAAGAACAATAACAAAAACAGGCAACTGGCAAGATTCAACCAAGGGCTATAGTTTGCCAACCCTTGGTTCATAGGGCACCAATTATTTGAGACTTGAGGTTACCTAGCGCTCCATGCACACTTGCAAACCAATTAATTACCATCTTATCCTTGGCCTGTTCCACTTCTTTAAGGTTCAGGCCCAGCACATGTAAACATTTGCTTTTGTTAAATTGTCACAGGATTAACAGATTGGGTGTTTGGAATCAGACAAACCTCAGTTGCCAGTTTTGCCACTTGCCACTAGGTGGTTTGGGACAAATCACTTAACATCTCTAATCCTCAGATTCCTTATCTATAGAGTACCTACGTCATAGGGTTGGCACAAGGAAAAATTCAGTGAGATGGTCCATCTAAAACACCTAGCAGAGAGGCTCCCGCTCGGTGGCGGAGGTCCCGGCTTGGGAGGTTCTCGCAGTGAACGGGAGTTGGGAGGCGTTGGGCTGGTCCCGGCGAGAGCGGTGCAGTCAGGATTGGAAAAGATGCCAGCCCCAGCTGCCACATATGAGAGGATAGTTTACAAAAATCCCTCTGAGCACCACTACATGAAAATCTGCCTAGAATTTCAAGAACATGGGGTTGGACTGAATGTTACACAGTTCAAACAGCTGCTTATTTCAGCCCTGAAGGACCTATTTGGGGAGGTTGACGCTGCCTTACCCTTGGACATCCTAACCTACGAAGAGGAGACCTTGTCAGCCATATTGAGAATATGTAGCAGTGGTTTTGTCAGATTGTGGAGCTCTTTGACCCTGTTAGGATCCTATAAAGGCAAGAAATGTGCCTTCAGAGTGATTCAGGTTTCTCCATTTCTCCTTGCATTATCTGGTAATAGTAGGGAACTAGTATTGGATTGAATGGTCTTCAATTTCAGAAACATTCCTCTGCTCTCAAAACTATCTTTTGGTGCCAGCATAATGCATGATGACTGAAACAGGCTCAGCCCTGCTGTTGATGGAATTTGAGGGTGCCGAAGATGTTCCCCATAATTTCCAGCCATCGTCTTTGGTGGTGTAGCCTTCGGAGGAGAATCTGCCTGAACCAACCAGTTGTAAGCAGGCAGCATTTTCAGCATATGCACATCCGAGTTGGAGACCGGGCTGAACTCAGCAGAGCCTTCACACAAAGGGATGTGGTTGCCTTCTCAGAACTAACAGGGAATGTTAATCCTTTGCATTTAAATGAAGATTTTGAAGAGCACACCAAATTTGGAAAGACAATTGTGCATGGAGTTTTGATCAATGGACTTATTTCAGCTCTCCTGGGTACCAAAATGCCAGGCCCAGGCTGTGTATTTATTTCCCAGGAAATTCACTTTCCAGCCCCTTTATATGTTGGAGAAGTTGTTGTAGCTTCTGCAGAAGTTCAAAGGCTGAAGCGGTTCATTGCGGTTATTGCTGTGTCATGCTTTGTAAGAGAAAGTGAAAAGACTGTTATGGAAGGCTGCGTTAAAGTTATGGTCCCAGAAGCTTCCAAGCCCTGAAATATGTGTTTAAAGATGCAACTTCATGCATCAGTGTTACTGTTACTGAAGAGCCTCTGAGGAAAACGGATTGCTGCTCTTCAACAAGGAGTGGCCAGCAGACCCAGCAGCCCACAGTGGGGGAGGCAGCAGGTAGCGAGGGGTTCACTTGTCCACTTTCTAATTTGGCCTTATGTTTCATACAGATGAGTCTATTTATCATCTAAGTTTGTAAATTTGAAAAAATATGGGGAAAGTTATTTAGCTCAAGGTTCTAATTTTAGGATTTCAAACCAAGTTAAATTTGCATTTGGATAACACAAACTTACCTATATCTGCATAGAATAAATTTCTCAGTGAATTTATAGCTAGGTAGCATTTAATTTTTGACAGCAATTAGAATAGGAGTTGGGTAATCTTTGAACACCTGTCTTTACCAATAAATATTTAGATACTGTTCTTCAGTAAAAAAATAAAAATAAAAAAATAAAACACCGAGCAGAGAGCCAGGCAAACTTCAATCAGTAGTAGCAGTATTGGCATCATCCTGCCATTGAACCACTACTCTGTAAGGCAAGTATCATTAAAACCAGTTTACAAAGAAATTAAGGCTCAAACTTGTTTACATAGCTTTCCCAAAACTGATAGCCAGTGACACAAAGCACTGATCCACACCCAGAACTTTATTTCCAACAGGCTCTGATTAATCCAACCACACTAACAGGAAAGGAATTTACTGTATGCCACTCCAAGGCGAGCCTGCATTTTAAGACACCCAGATAAAGAGTTGCGAAATGCACAAGAACTCACTCTTCGCGGTGCAAGTTTAGTTGTTGGGGGGAAAGAGAGAATTTCGTGAGATCTAAGGCTGCAAGGGCACGGGAGGTGATATCGGCTGTTACAAACAACCAAGATTTCTGAAACCAGTGTGCGGAGGCTCATAATCTGGATACTCTTTTCGAGCTTTGATCCTCTAAGGAGGTGCTGTCACCCGGCCACGCACTCAGCCTGGCGCTTCTCAGCCTCTATGACCTTGCTGCCCCCGGCGGCGCTGCCCTTTTTGGCTCTCGCGCTCCACGTGCCTGGAGCGCCTGGCGCCTAAAAATATCGCCCTGGTGGAACCTCCCGGAACATGCCTTCGGCTTTTTAAAAACCAGGCGCCATCGCCACTTTGAGACACATAAATAAATCACTGCCCAGACCTGCTGTTAACTCAGCGGGTGATGTGCCGCAGAAAGTGGCGACGGATTCAGCCCCTTCGGATGACATGAATGTTTCCATTTTCTTCCTCCTCCACTTGGCGGGTAGCATATATCATCAGGGCCGCCGAGTAGCCCAAAGACTGTGTTGGGCGTTAGAAAAAATAGCCCAGGAATCTCCCTTTCTTCCAGCTCAGACCAAGCCTGGAACTCTTCAAAGCCATATCCTGTGACAATCACAAGGGTTTTCTCCGCCCCAAGTGATGGAAAACTCGTGACTGTGACCCGAGGGTTGGGCGGGCGCAGAGAAACCGGGGCGGAGCTGCAAGTCGCCAGGCGAGGAAGCCCCCGGCCGGCTGCGCGTGCGCAATCTCACACCACGGGACCTCCTTCCCGCCGCGGAGTGTAGGAAACCGGACGCCAAATCTGTCCCCGCGCAGACGCCGCCCGGCGCAGAACGGAGTGGCCGCCCTCCCTGAGGCGCGCCTGCGCACGTCCTCACGCACGCTCCGGCGTACGGCGGCGGCCGGGGGTCGCGAGCCGGTGGAGGACCCGCGCGCGGAGGAGCCCGGGGAGTCAACTCTTCTTCCCTCCCTTCCCCATTCCCCTCCCCGCTCCCTCCCCCCTCCCCAAGAATGTTCCGCTACGAGGTGAGCTGTGGCGACCGGAAGTGACCCCTCCCTCCCTCCCGCTCCCCTTTTCCTCTCTTATCCCCGGAGCTTCTGTCCCGCGCTTCGGAGGAGGGGGGGGCGGTGGGCGGTGGGACCCCCGGGACTCAGAGGAGCGCGTCGCACCGGGGGTCGTGGGTTTCAACCTAGAGCTGTGTGAGCTGGTTCGGGGGACGGGACTGTCGTATTAGTTGTCAGTGGGTAGAGTTGGCCTCGGTTTTGAGGTGGGGAGGGCCCGTTAAGTGCCTTAACCGGACCACCTGCCAGCCCCAACCCGGGAGGAGCCGCGGAGGGGAGGCGTCGCATCCATGCGGTGGCTCTTCTTGAGGAAGAGTCACCCGGGAAAGCCCGGAGACGTTTCCCGCCCTGGACCTGGAACCACCTTTCGTCCAGTTACACACACCTATACACACAGGAAACCACCGGGTCACTGGGGCCTGGGCTTGCCCTTTGACTGTCCGCGGACTGTTGACTGAAGAGGCCTGGGAGTTGGGAGGGGGCGTGTCCAGCAGAAGTTCCTTTTGGGCGAGTGGAGGGAGACGTGGGTTTGGTGACGGTCCCGGTAATGTAGCAATAGTCGAGAGTCCTGAGCTTGTCACTAATTCATTGTATGACCTTGAGCGACTACTAATCTCTGGCCGTAAAGTCTCCAGGTTTGTAGAAGAAAGGGGCTTGTTTGCATAATCCCTATAAGCCTTTCCGATTGAAAAAACACACAGTGATTTGATTAAGGAGATCTTTGTGATTTGGGAGGAGTGCTGCTGGATGTTGCCTTTAAGGTGGAAGCAATTGCCTACCTGCTTTGTGTACGTTTGTGAGGGCTTCAGATGGGTGAAATGGCCCTTTGGCTTAACCGTACCTTCGGGAACAGTCTAAACCAGAGGTTCTCAACCTTCCTAATGCCCGCGCGACCCTTTAATACAGTTCCTCATGTTGTGGTGACCCCCAATTTCATTGTTACAAATTGAGCATAAAGCATAGTGATTAATCACAAAACAATATGTAATTATATGTGTTTTCCGATGGTCTTAGGCGACCCCTGTGAAAGGGTTGTTCGACCCCCGAAGGGGTCGCGACCCACAGGTTGAGAACCGCTGGTCTAAACCAAGAGGTAGCCAGGCAAGGTATAACACAACCCTGCCTTCCGATTCTGAGTCTTTGAAAATTGTGGATACACGTGACACTTGATAGGAAATGGTTTAAAACCAAACTAACTTTATGAAAACATGGAGGGAGGTGATCAGTGGTGTAGGCAGTTGCCTAAAGAAAAGAAAACTTAGAAAAACCAGTTAAAAACTAAAGTGTAAGGAGGAAATGTTTACAGTACAACCTACCTAAGTTGTTATGGTGATCTCTAGCGTTGTTCAGCAATCCGCAGTGTTTGACTAAATCTCTTCCTCATTTAATCCTCATAACTATGAGGTAGGTGGTATTGCTCCTCTATTATCTCTTAGGAAACTGAAACTTAGAGCCTAACAAAGCCTGTGGCATAATAGGTGCTCAAGAGGTACTTAATGAATTAATTTCAAAAAAATGATTTGCCCAAGTTAGCACCGCTTTTAAGAGCAGAGTCAGAACTTGAACTTGCGATATCACAGCTTTTTGAGAGTTTACTTAATTGTGGTTGAAAATTTCAGCTTTCTGTTTTATCACCAGAGTTTGGGCCAATAGGAAACAGAAAAGGGGAAAGATTGAAAATGAAGAGAAAGCTTTAAAAGAGAATAATAAAATAGTTGAAAAGTTGACATGAATATAGGGAAGGTGAAAGTTTTGTTGAACAATACACTAAAACCCAAAGGGTTCATTTCATTTGTCATTATTCTAACCAGTGATGTAAAGGAAGTTGGCAGACCGTGAGGAAATGCTCTTATTAGATTCCTGATAGAGAAATGGAATGTTTGTGAGGAAAGGTTAAATTAAATAAGGAATGGGAAAGAGAAACTGAAAGAAAAGAAGATACTGAAATTTTCCAATGTTGGGGAAGTTAGGGGGTAGAAAAAAATGCCATCTTTACAAAAAGTCACAATGAAGATATTACACTGATTGGGAAAGTAAGATGAACATTTTTAGAACATTTTACAATGTGGTTATGAACTTCATGAATAGCTAAATCTCCTTTCTCTTTTTAGTCTTTGGAGGATTGTCCTCTGGATGAAGATGAGGATGCATTTCAAGGCCTGGGAGAGGAAGATGAAGAAATTGATCAATTCAATGAGGATACATTTGGGTCAGGTGCAGTTGGTAAGTGATATCTTATATCCTCTTGGTCTCTTGATGGTTTCAGATGTTCTCCTTTATAAGTGCTTGGCCTTAGTAGGAGTAACCTCAGTCACTAATTTAGCAAAATATCCCATTCTTGGTCTTAGAATAGTCTAGGCTTGACCAGAAGCATCTACCCTTCTCCTCTTGACTTCTTTTTGCCTCACTTATAAAACCAGGTGTTCTGTAAGCTCTATTACTTCCAGCTATATGATCTTTTGCTCTAGGTTGACACTATAAGGAATTCAGGTGGTTAGAGAAATAGACATTTTTCCAAAGATTTAAAATAATCCTAGAAGAGGGGAATTTATTTGTGGGACATGTAACTTAAGGAAAATTAGTTGAACTAGGAGAAAACTCAGATTTGGATATGTATGGTTTTAAAATTCAGTTGGTCAGCAGTATATATTACATGACCCTGCTATTGTCTTAATAGTATCTTCAATAAAGTAAAAATCCCTTTATTCAAAGAATATTGGCGATAGAAAGTCTTCATAAGTTAGAAATAAGATGAAATTTTCCCACCCTTGGATATTGATAAATATTCTAGGAGTTGGAAAAAGTTAAAAAGCCAACCTATTCTTAAAGGCCGCAGAGCTGTGGATACTGAGATGGGGAATTTAGAGAGCAAGCTTATATGGTAAAGTTTGAGAATTAGAGATCCTAGAACAGGTTACATTAATAAGTTTAAATTAAACTGAATGTTTAAAAAAATGAAAAGGTAAGGCTCAGTGGAAATATTTTTGCTCTGAGTATTGATATTGAAAATGGCAACAACTGTTTTTTCTGGAATGTGTAAATACTTATGATTTCTTTGGTATCAAGCACTCTGTCTATGCAACAAATATTCAAAGTTAAGTAATAAGAAGAGGAAATTTAACTGTAATGGGTAATCCCAAGATTTTGAATATAAAAAACAAAAAAGAGGTCTTAAAAGTGTAATAATGGTTACTGGTTTCACAGTGACCTAAACAGCTTAAATTTATTAAAGCTTAGACTGAGTAGAATGAATTGTCAAAAATGCAAGAGTATAGTATTATCAACCAGGGTTTACAAAAATGAGTAGAGAGCTCAAAACTGCCACCACTAGGAACAGTAAAACAAGTGTTTAAGGTAGAAGGATAGACTCATTATAGAAGGGAACCAAAGACTTTTTGGATTATAGCCATAGTTTAGGACATGAGATCATCCAAGAAGATGACATAATCTAAGATGCTGTTCTCTCTCCATGGAGATCACAGGCAAAAGCAATAGAATAGAATTACAAAAGCAGGGAACAATTTGAATTGCAAATTGTATTTGGAAGTTAATTTACTAATAACATACAGAATATAATAGAAGCTATAAACATTGTATGCTTGTTTCTATAATTCTTCGTATCTTAATTGTACTGAATCTTAACATTTTTAAGCAAATTCCTCAGTATTAAAATGAAGTTGATGGAGTTGATTTATAGATATTATTTTAAGATGAGGCAGCATAATAATACGTACTCAGTTTTGAACCTGAACAGATGAGGAATAGTCTTGCCTTCTCGTTGACTTCCAGAGCGCTTGGACAGTTTTCTGAGTTCCTCACAAGATGGGGGAAATATTGCCTTAAAAGGATGCTAGAGTTTCAGAACTGTATTTTATATGATGATAGAAAGAAAGAAAAGTTTCTGGGGTTATACCAAAAAGAATAGGTAGTAAAAAACAAAGGCAGGGAAATGAAATAGCATTTGATTAGCCCACTTCATACCCTCAGGCATAAGGGGTGATTAATAAGGATTTCTTGGTTAACAAGTTTATAATAGAGAGAAAAATTTCAAAACACAAGCCCTTTCTATTGAGTATAATATACTTGAATTGTAAAATTAAAATCTTAATGCCTCATAACATCTTGATCTAAATACTGTAAAGATTTCTAAAAGGAAAATTGCTTCCCAAGTCCACCTGTGACTTGCTTACTACATCTCTACAAGAAGATACACAGCTGTTGTACAGAATTTAAACCAGGAGATAAAATGTCAGACCTTTGACATATGTTTTGGTGTGATGGTTTCTAATTCAAGGAGTGGCTTGAATGAAACCTGTTAGTACAGTAGTTAATTTTAAGTCGCTGGCTGCAAATGCTCTCATGTCACCTTTCCTTAAGAAACTAGTCACTGTCTTCCTCATGGAAAAGTGTTTGCATCATCTTAGAGCAGTGGTTCTCAACCTTCCTAATGCCGAGACCCTTTAATACAGTTCCTCATGTTGTGGTGACCCCCAATTTCATTGTTACAAATTGAACATAAGTAAAGCATAGTGATTAATCACAAAAACAATATGTAGTTATATATGTGTTTTCCGATGGTGTAAGGCGACCCCTGTGAAAGGGTTGTTCAATCCCCAAAGGGGTCGCGACCCACAGATTGAGAACCGCTGTCTTAGAGCCATAAATGCACCACAGTAATCTCAATTCAATCTCTAGAAATAAATGCTTAGCACTTAAAAGATGCTTATTATGTGCTAGACACCATTATAAATGTTTTACATATAATCCTCACTGTGTGAGGTAGGTGCTATTATTATACTCATTTTAACAAATGAGAGGAAAGTGACAGAGAGGTTAAGTAACTATAAATGGAATTAGTTTAAACTACCAGTTAAAGCAATCTTTGGGAATCTCCTGTCTCCCATCCTTCCTACTTTTATTGAAAACTACTATAATCTTTAGGAATTGAGATTGCCTTAAATCACCTCTACTTCCTTATCATTTTATTTTTTATTTTAAAATATCCCTGAGACAGACTTCAGGAGAATTATTACAAGTATAAGTTTATGGGAGCAATGAGGAATTTACTAACCCACATGAGGGTATAGGTCAGTGATGGTGAACCTATGACACGCGTGTCAGAGGTGACACGTGAACTCATTTTTTTGGTTGATTTTTCTTTGTTAAATGGCATTTATTTTTTTTATTTTTTTAAAATATATTTTATTGATTTTTTATAGAGAGGAAAGGAGAGGAGATAGAGAGCTAGAAACATCGATGAGAGAGAAACATCGATCAGCTGCCTCCTGCACACTCCCCACTGGGGATGTGCCCGCAACCAAGGTACATGCCCTTGACCGGAATCGAACCCAGGACCCTTGAGTCCGCAGGCCGATGCTCTATCCACTGAACCAAACCAGTTAGGGCGTTAAAAGGCATTTAAATATATAAAATAAATATCAAAAATAAAAGTCTTTACTATGGTTGCAAATATCAAAAAATTTCTATATGTGACACGGCACTAGAGTTAAGTTAGGGTTTTTCAAAATGCTGACACGCCAAGCTCAAAAGGTTCGCCATCACTGGTATAGGTTAATGAGTTAAAGAAAAACAGCTCTCTTTCCCTTTATTTCTCTGTTTTTCTTTTGCCTCCTGTTTATCCTTTTTACCAATGTGGATTGAAGTCCAGCATTGGTATATCTAAGTAACTATGTTTAAGGTCATTTGAAAAAGGTATATAGGGTGAAGTATCTACCCTCTTATAGTAAGGACATTCCATCTCTGACATTGCTTCAGGTGATTTTTCACAAAACCAAGTAACACCTGAAAGGATGATGAGGGTATCTATGGCATAGATTTCTTTGTTTGCATGTTTAAAAAAGCAATTCACAACAGTTATTCTCACAGAATATGGCTGTTTAACCAGAGTTTTTTAAAAATGTTATTAAGGCCCTGGCTAGTGTGGATCAGTGGATAGAGCATTGGCCCTTGGACTGAAAGGTCCTCGGTTCGATTCCAGTCAAGGGCACGCACCTCAGTTGCAGGCTCGATCCCTGGCCCTAGTCAGGGCACATGTGGAAGGCAACCAATCGGTGTGTCTCTCTCACATCAATGTTTCTCTCTCTCTGTCTCTATCCCTCCCTTCCACTCTCTCTACATATCAATGGAAAAATATCCTCGGGTAAGGATTTACCGAAAGAAAAAAAATGTAGTTATTAAGGACAAATAGACTACTCGTTTTTGGTAGGATCTGGTAAAGTTAGTAAAGATAGGTATGGAAACAGTGAATGAAAACAACATAAATTAGAACTTGATTGCATTAGAACCAATCTGTTAACAAATTAACTCCTTAAATTTAGAAAATAAATATAAAAACATTCCTTATTTGGGATTATACTCCTATTTTTTTGGCATAGCTGGGTTAGTAAAATTACAAAGAAAATTTGTCCTTTAAAAACTTTCTTAGTGTACTGTTCCTTGGTAAAGATGACACAAATATTAATGTCACATGCTGGCTGGGCTAAAGTGGATTTTAAAGTACATTTAAATCTACGGCAGTGCCCAAGACTAGACAGTAGTTCTAATCATGCCAGATTATAAATTGGAAGTCCCACTTCCCTCACTTTTTGGACCACTAGTGTTATGTGCTTCTTTGTTATGTAGTAAAAATAGCAAATTTTAAGTGTTTATAATCTGACCCTGAAAGGTACTTACCCTACAGAAATATTTGCTTAAGATATTAAGATATATATAATATTTAGTACAATATTAATCATTGTATTGAGAATTTGCAAATCTAAATTTCCATCAGTAGGGGATAAGTTGAATTAGTTTTAATTTATCAATAGAATTGAATCTTATATAAATACTAGAGGCCCAGTGCACGAATTCGCGCACCAGTGGGGTCCCTCAGCCTGGCCTGTAGGATCAGGCCAAAACCAGCTCTCTGATATCCCCCGAGGGGTCCTGGATTGTGAGAGGGCACAGGTCAGGTCGAGGGACCCCAACGGTGCAGGATCAGGACTGGGGAGGGACGCGGGAGGTTGGCCAGCTGGGGAGGGACTGTGGGAGGGCTCCAGGGCGTGTCTGGCCCATCTCAGTCCTGATCAGCTGGACCCCATCAGCAAGCTAACCTACTGGTATGAGCATCTGCCCCCTGGTGGTCAGTGCACTTCATAGCAACTGGTCAACCAGTCGACTGCCCCCTGGTGGTCAGTGTGTGTCATTGTGAGCAGTTGAGCAGCCTTAGCATATCATTAGCATATTACGCTTTGACTGGTTGAACAGACAACTGGACACTTAAGCATATTAGTTAGGCCTTTATTATATAGGACTAGAGGCCCGGTGCACGAATTTGTGTACATTGAAAGGAAATTAATCAGAAGAAATATTTTAATATCGCTATTTGCCTTTCTCTATAATAGAAGTGTCAACCAAATTCACAATCAACAATGACAGATGGAAACACTTGTGCAATTGGCACCAGCAAGAGCTTTATATATGTAGATAAACTTGCTTAATTAGACCTGCTTTCTGATTTGGCTAAATTTTTCCCAGCCCAGTGAAGCACCCCAACTTCTCTTTCAGGTAATTGTCAGCAACACAGCAGTAAATATCAACACAAAGCAGATTATTATTGTAGATCACGCAGGGAGAACAGAGGGTAAAATATTTAACTGCAACAGTGTTTGACTATATTGTGCACAGTGAGAAAACCTGAAGTCATTTTCAAGGTCCACCATTTCTTACTTCTTTTCAGTTGGGTCAAGTTTCTAACCTTTCTAAATCTCCGTTTTCTGACTAATGAAAAGAAAATAGGATTCCACCAAGTTTCCTATCTACCTACTCCAGGACTTATGTGAGGATCAAATGAGGTGAGGCACGGGAAAATGCTTCACAGGCATTTGGTTAAAGTGTAAAATGTTTCCACCTGGCTATAAAGCAAGTCATATTCCTGGGCTGAAGAAATTCCAAGAAGGCTAGTCACTAGGGAGAGGAAGCCAGGCGTTGCTACATGACATCATTACCTGGTGCCCACAGCTATCATTTCTGGGCTGGGCTAGGCTGTGGGCCTCATTTTGTGCCATGGGGTCTCAGCAGTGTTGGCTGCGACTTGGTGGGCTGTCGCTCCAGGATGGTGATGGGGCCTGTGTCCCACTTGGGTGAAGACGAGTGTTGCTTTGTGGGTGCCAGGTCCATGATGCCGTTTATTGTTAAATGACCTATTGCTAGGGAGAGGAAGCTGGGCGTTGCTACATGTCATCATTACCCAGCACCCACAGCCACCATTTCTGGGCTGGGCTGTGGGCCGTATTTTGCGCCATGGGGTCTTGGCAGCGTTGGCTGCAATTTGGTGGGCTGTCGCTCTGTAGTGGCGGGACCTGTGTCCCACTTGGGGGAAGCTGAGTGTTGCTTTGTGGGCACCAGGTCCATGGTGCAGTTTCTCTGTAAATGGCCAGTGTGTGTCACAGCAGCTCCTGTATTGAGCATCTGCCCCCTGATGGTCAGTGTGCATCATAGTGACCAGTCAGACAGTCGGACACTTAGCATATTAGCCTTTTAAATATATACTAGAGGCCCGTTGCACCAAGAGATTCATGCAATAGGCCTTCCTTCTCCTGGCTGCCAGCACCGGTTTTCCTCCAGCTCCCGGGACCCAGGCCTTCGCTCCGGCCTCACCAGAGAAGCGAAGCCTCTTCAGCCTTCAGTCTTCGCTGCTCTGCGCCTGTGTATGCAAATTAACCGCCATCTTTGTTGGGTTGATTTGCATAGTCATCCTGATTGGCTGGTGGGCATAGCAGAGTGACACCAATTTGCATGTTTCTCTTTTATTAGTGTAGACTAATGGTCTGGTGCACGAAATTCGTGCACAGGGGTGTGTCCCTCAGCCCGGCCTGCACCCTCTCCAATCTGGGACCCTCTCCAATCTGCACCCCTGTGGGATCGGGCCTAAACCGGCAGTTAGACATCCCTCTCGCAATCCGGGACCGCTGGCTCCTAACCACTCACCTGCCTGCCTGATTGCCCCTAACCACTCTGCCTGCTGGCCTGGTCGCTCCCAACTGCCTCCCCCTCCTTCCCCCACTGGCCTGCTCATCCCCAACTGCCCCCCCTGCCATCCTGCTTGTCCCCAACTGCCCACGGGTACCCTCGCAGGTAGTAGGTGCTGATTAGGGAGGAGGACATGATTGTTTTCTGGGACTGTTGCTATGGAAGCTTTGCGCCATGGGTTCTGCAGGACTCTGAGGGGTGGGTTCTGGCCAGCAGCCCTGTAGCGGTGGTTTACCCCCCGGAGGTGCTGGTGGGGGGCAGGGAGTTAAGGGGGCGCTACGGGGGTAGTGAGGCCAAAGGGGGAGTAACTGTCAAACCTTCCCGCTTGGCACCATTCTTTAAATTGTACGTGGCTGTTTCATAGCTATACCTGCTCAGGAAATTTAACTTTCCACCTATCTTCTGGAGTTGGAATTATTTACTTGGTTAACAGAACTTTATAAAACTTTTTAGTTCCAATATGAACTGTATGTCATTTTTATGATTTCCTTATAGATGATGATTGGCAGGAGGCACATGAGCGACTGGCTGAATTGGAAGAGAAACTGCCGGCAGCAGTCAATGAACAAACAGGCAATGGAGAAAGGGATGAGATGGACTTGTTGGGTGACCATGAGGAAAATCTGGCAGAAAGGCTCAGTAAGATGGTGATTGAAAATGAACTAGAAGATCCAGCCATCATGAGGGCAGTGCAGACCAGGCCAGTTTTGCAAGTAAGTTACTCTGGTTTGAGCATAGTAGCAGACTAATAATCAAAGTGAAATATTGAGTTCTTTTTTTTTTTTTAATCTACTATAATGAGAGATTTACATATGCCATGCTGTAGAAAATTGTTAATGTAATTCCTGATAACAATTCTGGAGATGAAGTTGGAGAATGATGTATACTCTGGAGCACTATAATTTCTTATTCTCAAGCAGTTGAGGCTCTTTTGGAGCTTTGTTCACCAAAAGCAGGTACTTCATACAGAGAGCCCACACTATTTGTATTTTCCCTTTTTTGTTAGCCCCAACCAGGAAGTCTCAATTCCAGCATCTGGGATGGATCTGAAGTTCTGAGGCGAATCCGAGGACCATTGCTTGCTCAGGTATTAAACATTTTCTCTTTATATACAATTCCACATCTGTGAAAATTTCAAGCTGGCTCCTGTTGTCATCCTTTCCTTGCAGAATCATATAGTTGGATATCATTTGCCAGTCTTAGGTCAATTACTCCATCCAGCACTCAGAGTTGTACCACTTCCTCAGCCTCTGTGGAAGTGCTGAGTTGACTGTGCTTTACTTTGAAAAGGTTGAAATGGGGATGACCTGGAGTGTGACCGGGGCCAGGGAGAGGGGTGCCCAGCAGGGAGGAGGGTGACCTAGGGGTGGGGAGGCAGAGGACTCAAGGATGAGAGATTCCCAGAGAAGGCCCACTGTGAACTAGACATTTAAATGCATTCAGGCTGGTCGACCTTCCTGAGAGCCCTGAGTTTGTAGCATGAAATAGGGGTCCCCCAACTCCAGAGGGGCTCCCCTGTTTCCAAGTAACACCCTTATTGACATCAGAAGCAAGTCCAAATTACCAAAGTTAAGGTGGTTATTGGATTGGTTGGTTTTGATAGTGAAGCCTTTTTACAGTACATGCAATAGACTTAATTCCTGTATCTATATTATATGGTTAGACCAAGAAATGTTTACATGCAATAAGCATATGTGGAAATGCATTTCTGAAGACCAGAATAACTCAAGGCTGCAATTCTATTCAGAACAGAAAATAAAGTTTAAAATAATAATAAATAAAATAAAAGGTTGGAAGGGACCATTATAACTCAATTTTGTCACCTTACAATTTGAGTTACTTGAAAAGTCATTTCTAGGCAGAACTATAAGACTGGAGAATAGATCAGTGTTGGCCAGTGGTTGGGAGTGGTGGGAGAGGTTGACAGCAAAGCCACTCTGCGACTCATACAACTTAACAAAAGGAATATAAACAATCCAATCAAAAAATGGGCAAAGGACTTAAATAGACACTTTTCAAAAGAAGACCTACAGAAGGCCAAACGACATATGAAAACATGCTCAAATCATCTTACAGATGCAAATCAAAACGACAATGAGGTAACATCTCACACCTGTCAGAATAGCTGTCATCAACAAATCCACAAACAAGTATGTGGAGAAAAAGGAACCATTTTGCACTGCTGGTGGGAATGCAGGCTGGTGCGGCCACTGTGGAAAACAGTATGGAGTTTCCTCAAAAAATTAAAAATGGAGCTCCCACTTGACCCAGTAATCCCACTTCTAGGAATATATCCCAAGAAATCTGAAACACCAATCAGAAAGTATATATGCACCCCTATGTTCATAGCAGCACAAATTACAATAGCTAAGATTTGGAAACAGCCTAAGTGCCCATCAGCAGGTGAGTGGATTAAAAAACTGGTACATCTATGCAATGGAATACTACACTGCTGTAAAAAAGAAGGAACTCTTAACCATTGCAACAGCATGGATGGACCTGGAGAGCATTATGCTGAGCAAAATAAGCCAGTCTGAAAAAGATAAATATCACATGATCTCACTCATTTGTGGAATATAATGAACAATGTAAACTGATAAACCAATATAGAGCCAGAGAAAAAAAATATTTTAGAATATAATAGAAGTAATCCTGTTATTTGCAGATTTTTAATATTTCCTACAACTTTTGTGATATTGTACTATGTTAGTACAGTTTTGGTATTATTATATTTAAAATCTTTTTTCTTGAAATAATTTTCATTGCATGTAATATATTTAAAATCATTTTTCTTGAAATATTAAAGTTTATTGCATGTAACATTATTATATTTAAAATCGTTTTTCTTGAAATATTAATGTTTATTGCATGTAAAAAAAAAACCACTACATAGGAAGTTTGTGGAGTGATGAAATTGTTCTATATCTTGATTGTGATGGTAGATTCATGACTGCATTTATTAAACTTCAGAGAACTGTACACCAAAGAGTAAATTTTACTGGATAAGAAATAAAAATAAATAAAATTTTAAATTTCTCGAGATATTTTGACGTTTATAGAGATTATTAACACATTTCAAGTTAAACTAAGGTTTTTTTGTGGATTTTTTTTTTGCTACTTCCTTAATTAGGAAATGCCTACAGTATCTGTATTAGAATATGCCTTGCCTCAGAAGCCCCCACAGGGCCCAGAAGATGATCGGGACCTTTCCGAGCGTGCATTACCAAGGCGGTCAACTTCACCTATCATTGGCAGCCCTCCTGTTAGAGCTGTCCCCATAGGCACCCCACCTAAGCAGATGGCTGTACCCAGCTTCAACCAACAGGTACCTCTCATTAACAGGCACTCAGCCCAGGATATTGGGAATCTGGGCAAAATTATTGGGGAAATTGGTGATGTTGGGAGGAGGGTGGAAATTTTGGGTAGGCATTAGATTAGAAAGAAAAATAGCCAATTAGAGGAGAAGTTAGTACCAATAAGAGACACATTCCTTAATGCCCCTTGCTGGTGCTGCTCCTATTGCTGCTTTCTAAATGGGGAGAAAAGGGTAGTTAACCACATTTAGTGTATATATCCTTTTTAAAGGGTTTTGCTGGCTGCCCAAAACATTAGCAGAGAGGTAACTGAAAGCTGGGGGGAGTGGGAACACACAGCATTGTCCACATCCCTTTTTACCTTTAAGATATCCCTGCTTTCCCTAGAGCCTGTGCAGTCCTGTTCCATAGACTTTCCTCCACCTGAAACGAGCAGCTGAAAAGGAAGGCCAATTTGGAAGGTATGGGGGGAGGGTGGTGTTGGTATGGCCTAGTTAGGCTCAGTATCCCATGAAATGGTGGAGTCACAGTATATTACAAAAGAGCTCTAAGCATGGCGGCCATATCACAGGGGCTTCAGAATAGGACTTAGTTAATCCTCCAGCTTTCTTATCATTCCTTCTCCCTCACTGCTACCAAAATATATCCTTTTGGAGAGAATTTGCAAGTTTGAATATCTGCTGGTACCTCCCTCAGATAGCATGGAAGGGTGGGGATAACTGGAGAATTAGCTAAATCTTCCTCTGTTAAAAGCTACTGATATTTGTGGGAGGAAGTGACCAAAGGTTCTGTATATGAACCCATAGCCTTAGCAATTGGTTTAGAAGTAGGGCTTTGCATTGAGTTCTGTGTCTCTACCAGTACTAGAAGGGAGGAAGTGTAGGTGGAAGAAAAACTGACTTCACTGAGTGTAGTTGTTTATATGTTTGCCCTCATAGATTCTGTGTCCGAAGCCTGTCCATGTTCGGCCCCCAATGCCACCACGTTATCCTGCTCCCTATGGTGAGAGGATGTCTCCAAACCAGCTCTGCAATGTCCCGGTATGTCACTCTACAACCTAATGAAAATGCAATCTGTATTTTCTGATAACTACCTATTTAATCACTATACAAGTATATGGACTTCTCTTAATTATACATATTTTTTCTATCTCCATACTTGAATTTCTGAATCTTCTGGTCCCCAGATCAGAAGACATGATTCATTATGTTCAGTTGTTTCTTATATCAGTTCTTATCTTTAAAAATCTAAACTCGGTGTGATCATTTGATTTCCTTCTATCTCTGTCCCTCGTTCTGCTTTCTTTTTCATGTTACATTATGATAGTACTTCATAATTACATAATTATTCTCTTTTACATTAGTGGACAGCTTGACTGTACAGTTTAAGAGTGTGCTTTTTTTTTTTACTGTGTTTTGCATCTTGTTGTTGTTTTGTTTGTTTTTAAATTCTTTATTGTTTAAAGTATTACATATGTCTCCTTTCTCCCTATTGACCTCTCCCCAGTTGCTCCCACCCCCCAGCACATGCCCTTGCCCCACCCACCAGTCTTTTTTCATTGGTTATGCTTATATGCATGCAATTTAAGAGTTTTTATATCCAAATTTATTCTGCATTTCTATTGAGTTTCCTTATTATATTGATTTACTTATTTCATAGTATATAAGTTTTTTCTTTTTCTTTTTTTTTATTCTAGAACTCTTCCCTACTGGGTCACCCTTTCCCTCCTAGTGTCCCTCCTGTTCTTAGCCCCCTCCAGAGAGCACAGCTTCTTGGAGGAGCACAGGTAAGCCTTCAGTAGCTCAACCCATAAAGAGCTCTCTTACTTTCCTGAAGTGCACTACATGATACCTTTTTTTTTCTCTTTGATCAATCACTACTGTCTCTTTTTTCCCCATTATCATTTCAAACAAACTTACTGATGGAAACAATATTAACTTTTCTGTGGATAAAAGCAAGGGGACTTGCTGATTAACTAAGTTTAAGGTTTTGTCCCTCTGTAGCTACAGCCTGGACGGATGTCTCCCAGCCAGTTTGCACGGGTCCCTGGATTTGTTGGTAGTCCACTTGCTGCCATGAATCCCAAGCTGCTGCAAGGGCGAGTTGGGCAGATGCTTCCCCCAGCACCAGGCTTCCGTGCCTTCTTTAGTGCTCCACCTCCTGCTACACCACCTCCTCCACAGCAGCACCCCCCTGGCCCAGGACCTCTTGTGCAAAACTTACGGTATACACAACAAATGCTACTGTTTGTTTATTCATTGTTGGCTGAGTCTCCTAATGACATTTAGTATTTTAATATGGAAGTCTCTTGATATTTGCAGGTGATAAATTTTGAGATGTTACTGGATCCTCAAGTTGCCAGAAGAGAAATGTTTGACAGTCTGCAGGCTTTCTTATAAATCACATTTTCCTCAAGTCACATATTTCCTGTGTACATTTGCACATTTCTAATTAATCACCTCTTTTATTTCTTCTAAAGTTTATGTCTCACTCTAGATTCGTTTTACAAACACACACATACTTATACAGGGTGGGGCAAAAATAGTTGTGAGTATGCAAAACACAGCTTATTCTGTTTATTGTATTATTATCAATAGAGGCCCAGTGCATGAAATTCTTGCACTTGGGCATGAATTGTGCCCTCTCGTAGTCCAGGAGCCCTCAGGGGATGTCCGACTGACAGCTTAGGCCTGCTTGTGGGGAGTGGACCTAAGCCGTCAGTTGGACATCCTTAGTACTGCCTTGGAGGCGAGAGAGGCTCCCGCCACCACCGCTACGCTCACCAGTCATGAGCCTGGCTTCTGGCTGAGTGGCACTCCCCCTGTGGGAGCGCACTGACCATCAGGGGGCAGCTCCTACATTGAGTGTTTGCCCACTTGTGGTCAGTGCATGTCATAGTGACCTGTTGTTCTGCTGTTGGGTCAATTTGCATATTAGCCTTTTATTATATAGGATATTTTCCATATGAACAACTGTAAACTTACTTTTGCCCCACCCTGTATATATCACTAAGGGTTCTTTAGAGAAACAGAACCAAGAAGTGCCATATATACATAATACAAGGTGGAGCAAAGGCAGGTTTACAATTGTGAGTATGTGAAACAGAGTTTATTCTTGTAGTACTATTTATTAATTATTGTTTTACTTTCCATATGAACAACTATAAAGCTACTTTTGCTCCACCTTGTATTTTCAGTGTCATTCCCAAGTGGTTGTAACTAAGTACATTAAATCTAAAGCAGCGGTCACCAACCTTTTGGACCTCATGGACCATCAGTGGTCCGCAGACCACCAGTTGGCGACTGCTGATTTAGAGACTTCTGTTTGACAGAAGCAAAGAGAAAAAGGATTATACTGCTTGACTGTTAATTCACTCAAATTTATGATCACCTGCTCAGGAGTTGAGAATTGGCCATTGTAGAAGACATAAGAACATATGGCTATCTTTTTCTTCTAAAAAGTCTCCTTAGAATAGACTCTAACATTCCCTTGGATGAACCTGTATGAAGTTATCTTGTACTAACAACATTCTTGAAAACTTCAAATCATAAGGACATCAGAAATAAAAAACCTTTTCTGTTTTTTCTTAGATCTCAGGCCCCAATGTTTAGAGCAGACACCACTCATCTTCATCCACAGCACCGTCGACTTTTGCATCAGAGACAGCAACAGAATAGAAAGTAAGTGCTCACCCTCCTCGTTTGCAATTTTTTAATTCAGCTGTTCATTTTGACAGTGTACATGGTGCTACTAGTTTATTTTTTAAAATATATTTTTCTTGAGGGAGAGAGGGATAGAAACATCAAGGATGAGAGAGAATCATTCATCAGCTGACTCCTGCACGCCCCCTAGTGAGGCTCAAGCTGCAACCCAGGCATGTTCCCTGACTGGGAATTGAACCGTGACCTCCTGGTTCATAGGTCAACGCTCAACCACTGAGCCATGCTGGCTAGGCAAGGAGCTACTGATTTAGTTTACTTTTTAAGTAAATTTAAATAGTATTGAATTTATTTTACTGGTAAAGTCAACATATAAGCTGTCATTTTATGTTTGTGATACACTAGCTTCAAATGATAACATTTTGTCAGCTAATTTCCAAGTTACTATAATTCTGTTGATCAGAAATACAGTTTAGATCTGATATTTTTTCTTATAAGCCAACATTTTATACTCTTACCAAGTTCTTACCATATTCTTACCTACCTTTTGTCTACCATCTCAGCTCTGAGGTAATCTTGAATTATAGTAGTTAGCTTTATATTTGGGTTTGATGTAATGCCAACAGTCACTCTTTAATCTTGGCTATAATTCTTTAATCCTCATCCAACAAATGCAAATACATATTGATATATGTGACCCCAGCTATATGTCAGGCACTATGGGGATTGAAAGAACAAGGCATATAAAACCCTGCCTTAGTGGAGCTTATGTTATAATCATAAAATAAAAAATTAAACAAAACTTAGGTTTCTTCAACCTTCGGTTATAATGTTTTCTATGTGTAATCCATTCTCACATTCAAAGGAATTGTAGAATATTTTTTGCAGGAAAAATACTGTATGGGCTCTTAAAATATTAATTTTAAAAATACTGTATTAAAATATTAAATTCTAGTGCCTATTGTTAACTCTATGGGACTGTACACTTTAGAATTTGATAAGAGGGTAGATCTCATGATAACAAAAGACCACACTAACATGCAGTTCCCATGTTACATGGCTCATACAAATGGAATCTCAAAAAGCTCACTTGTAATCAGAAAACTGCAGATTAAAATTAGATAACCATTTTACATCTCCACATGGACAAAACTTGAAGTATCACTGACTGTTATTATCAGCAAGATTGGAGTGTACAGCCTCTTAGGAGAGAACTTGGCAATAAGTAATAAGGTTGAAAATGTGAATACACCACATCTTAGTAGATCTATTTTTAATATATACCTGGGTATATTATCAACATGGATAAGTATGAAAAGCAGTGTTGAGTGAGAACCATTTATATAAAATTGAAAGGCACACTGAATACTAATGTATAAAATTTAAAGATGTACACACAAGTAACCAAAGAACTAATGTGCATATATGTATAGCCCATGGACATAGAAAATAGTGCAGTGAAGGTCTGGGGAGTGGGGAAGAGGCTGTGTGGAGGGAGGCAAAGAAGGAAGGGAAATGAGGAACATCTGTAATACTTTCAACAATAAAAAATAAATTTAAAAAAGGGGAAAAAAGTAAAGAAACAATTCAGGGAGGGTACATACCAAAGTCGTTCCTCTAGAAACTGGGCTGGGATCTATCCAGAGAAGTACAAGAGGGCCTTCAGCCTTAAATGTAATGCTTAATATTACTTTTTAAAAATCTGAGGCTAATTTGGCAAAAAATAGATTTTTTTCATTATGTCTAGGTGGAAGATAAATGAATGTTTATTATAGTATTTTCTGGGTATTTCTCTACATTTGAATTATTTCATGATTTTCAACAAGTTTAAAATAAGTATATAGACTTATAATCAAATTGGCCTGTGTTCAGATCTCTTACTCTGACTAGTTGTGTGGCTTTGGACAAATTACGTGATCTTTTTCGGCCTTAGTTTGTTGTCTTAAGTGGAAAAGTAAACCTACTACCTCATAGGGTTATTGTAGGGCTTATACAAAAGTCTGTAGATGAAAGTACTTAGCATCTGGTAAGGAAGTCAGATCTTAGTTTTATTTCCTTAACTGTGTATTGCATAGCTCTTGCCTCTCAAATTTTGTAAAGATTCAGCTCTCTTTCACTTCTCTCTTAGCAAAAGCAAAGGGGAATCTTTTTTTAATTGGCCTTGTTTATTCCTGTATTATTATAAGGCATAATAAATGCCGCTTGAAGTGAGTGTGGTATGTGTTCGTTTTTCAGTCAGCATCGGAATCTCAATGGTGCAGGAGATAGAGGAAGTCACCGGAGCAGTCACCAAGATCATCTCCGGAAGGATCCGTATGCCAATCTCATGTTGCAGCGAGAAAAGGACTGGGTCGCCAAAATCCAGATGATGCAACTGCAAAGCACTGATCCCTACCTGGATGATTTTTATTATCAGGTAAATACTCTGTGCTAGTTTTGAGGGTCATAGTTTAGTTCCTTCCTCTGGTGAAAGCACTCATTTAAATATTGGTAGAATTGGACATTGATAGAATTTTCTTTTGAAGTAGTCTTTAAGTGGATAAGAATGACTAAATTCTGTTCTCTTTTCAAGCTAAAGAGCCTCTCACTGTTCACTAAAAGGTTTTCATATATGCCATCTATTTTTTACACATAGAGGCTCTCAAACCAATATTTTCAAATCCCTTTGGCATCAGTAATCTGGTTCTTTCAATTAAGGATATTGGCAGTCTTTCTTGGCTGGTGTGGCTCAATTGGTTAGGTGTCATCCCATGCAGGTTGCAGGTTCGATTTGCCATCAGCCCAGGTTGCAGGCTCAATCTCTGGTAGGGGGTGGGCAGGAGGCAGTCAATTGATGTCTTGCTCTTACATTGATGTTTCTCTCTCTCCCTCCCTCTAAAAAGTCAATTTAAAAATCTTTAAGAAAAAAAAATAAGAATATTGGCAGTCTAACTTTAAAGATATTTCCATTAATGATTACCTTTTTTAAGGCTGGGATTTTTTTTATAAAGGAAATTTATAGCAGTTTAACAAAAATTACAGACCAATACATTTACAGAAGGCAAGTTGTTGCAGTCACCAGTATAATTATTTAATGGTAAAGAGCTGCTATATTGTGTGCTTGTGTTGCAACTGAAATTCTTGTCACGGGGCAGAATTACTTTGAAAAACTGGAGAAACTGTCAGCTGCTGAAGAATTACAAGGTGATGGTCCTAAAAAGGAGCGCACCAAGCTCATTACCCCTCAGGTGGCCAAACTGGAGCACGCCTATAAGCCAGGTAAGCTCTTATCCCCTTAATGTAATAAGAGAAATTTGGCAGGCTACTGATATGATAAAATATAAGTAACTGCATAGGTGACTGGATAGAGATGTTTAAAACTGATTAATTAAGGTACTGTTGTCCTTAGTAAATACCGAGATCAACCTTTGTTCAAGTGTGGAATAAATGGTTTGGTACGGACCTTTTAGGTCCTTTTCTACTTGAGATTCCATAACTTTTTAATGCCTTTTTAAATTCCTAATTGTGCTAAAATAGATAAGGGAGGAACATTTCAGATCTCAATTTGATTATTATTGCAACAAAAAAATGGAAAAGGGAAAATTTTGATAAGAGCTTGCTTTAGATAATACTTGGATTTTTATAGTAAATTATTAGACTATGAGTAAAGAACAGAAAATATAAAGATCTCAGAAAGCTGTCTGTCTGCACAGCTGAGTTTTTGTTGGAAATGTTTTGTCCTTGCAGTGCAGTTTGAGGGCTCTTTGGGAAAGCTTACCGTCTCTAGTGTGAATAATCCCCGGAAAATGATTGATGCTGTTGTGACATCTCGGAGTGAGGATGATGTAAGTGTCAGCAGAATTGTGTGTTTAAGAAATTCTGGGTTATCACTACTTCTCTTGGGGTCATTGTGGAATGGAATCAAGCATAATGGAGTTCTTTATAGTCTAACCTGAAGCTTCTGATCTGACCTATCATGGCATTCTGGTTTTCTTCAAATGTGTTGAGATTCTAACACCTTCATCTCTAAGGCAGCCAGGCAGGACCTGGGGTGGCAGGAATCTTTTCACTGGGTAACTGGCTGCAAATAGCATCAGCTATTTTTCTCCAGTATTTAAATTATCATTTTCTATGTGTTTTAAGATTTTTCTATAATATCTTCATCTTCTACTGCATTCTACAATTACCTTTTGCCTATCTATGAGTTCAGTTTAATGGTTTGTGTGTGGATTGATTCAATCAACTTTATAAACTTTGTCCACATCTTTGTTTTTAGAATATTAACTTTCAAGGAGTCAAGATTGTCTTCTCAAAGTATTTTCACAAATGGAACTTACATATGCAGACTAAAAAACTTATTTTTAATAGCGGTAAACAGTCCACATTAAATAGTCTTGTCTTTTTTTAGGAAACAAAAGAAAAACAGGTTCGGGACAAGAGACGAAAAACCCTTGTCATAATTGAGAAAGTAAGTTTTAGAATTTGTTGCTATGGTTTCAAATAAGGAACTGTCAAATGTATGTACTATAAGTAGAAAAGCAATCAGCGCTCTGTAATTTTAATTAATGGATATATTCTTGTTGAGTGCCTATTATGTGCCAAGCACACCAGAAAGGTGTTCTCACCTGTGGCCTCAAGGAAGTCTCTCATGATCACAAATACTGGGGTTTTGTCCAAACTTGTTCAGGTCACAGCTGAGTGCTAGGGCAGGTCACCTTTCTAGGACAATTGGAATAAAAATGACATTGTTCCATATATGAAATAGTTGAATCAATTGAATCAGTTTACATATATTGGCACTCCCTGGGTGTTGGGTGCTAAGAAAAACAAGGTAACACACCGGCAGTTGTTTTGTGAAGTGTAAATACTACGTTGCAAGGCCATAGAGCATAGTGGTTAAGAGCACCGACTCTGGAACCAGGCTGCAAATCATGCCTTTTTCACTTTTAATTAAGTCTGTGACTTGAGGCCAGTTATTTAACCTTTCTGTGCTGTCCTCAGTTTCTTCATCTATAAAAATGGGGATGCTGATAGTCTCTTTCTGATTGGGCTGTAGTGAGTATTCGGTGAATGGGTACTTACATGCCAAGTGCTTAGAACAGTGCCCAGCACCCAGTATAAAAATGATTATACCTTTTTTTTTTTTTTTAATCAATGTAAGGCTTAACTTGAAGCAGTGATACAGGTTGTTTATGTTACAGAGCTGTTGTTGCTGTTGGAAATTTTAGAATGTGTAATCATTTCACTATCATTACCTTCTGGATTAGAGGTCAAGGAAACATGAAGAATGGTGTTTGAAGAAATTTTAAAAGTTATTTCACTGTGTTTTTCTAGATTTAAAAGAGCACTTTTGTTCTCTCAATTTTATTACAGTGAGCTTTCATTCCAGTATCTTTAATTGTTAGTCCTAAACTGTGAGGTGATTTATCTAATACTCTGACCCTGACTTAAGACCTACAGTTTGCTCCTGGATGTGGAAGATTATGAAAGGCGTTACCTCCTAAGTCTAGAAGAAGAGCGACCTGCCCTGATGGATGAAAGAAAGCACAAAATTTGCAGCATGTATGACAACTTAAGGGGAAAATTACCTGGACAAGAGAGGTAAGAATTGCGCACTTTGAGGAAGACATGAGACTAGCTGGACTCCCTACTCTGCTAAACTGAACTTTATACATTTCTACCTTTTCTCCTTTACCATCTCAGTAAGCTCCAAGTCTGTTCTTTTGGCCTAATTGAGATGCCACTTCATATAAAGCATTTCATAATCCTTCCCAGCCAGGAAAAAAAAAAATCTCTTTATCCTGAATTCATTTATCCAACAAATACTTTTTTTTTTTTTACTTTCTTTTCTTTTCTTTTTTTTTAAATTAAATCTTTATTGTTCAGATTATTACATTTGTTCCTCTTTTTTTCCCCCCCATAACTCCCCTCCTTCCAGTTCCCACCCCACCCTCCACCCTCACTCCCCACCCACTGTCCTCATCCATAGGTGCACGATTTTTGTCCAGTCTCTTCCTGCATCTCCCACACCCCTTTCCCCCTCAAGAATAGTCAGTCCATTCCCTTTCTATGTCCCTGATTCTATTATAATCAACAGTTCATTCTGTTCATCAGATTATTTATTCACTTGATTCTTAGATTCACTTGTCGATAGATGCATATTTGTTGTTCATAATTTGTATCTTTACCTTTTTCTTCTTCTTCCTCTTCTTAAAGGATGCCTTTCAGCATTTCATATAATACTGGTTTGGTGGTGATGAACTCCTTTAGCTTTTCCTTATCTGTGAAGCTCTTTATCTGACCTTCAATTCTGAATGATAGCTTTGCTGGATAAAGTAATCTTGGTTGTAGGTTCTTGGCATTCATCACTTTGAATATTTCTTGCCACTCCCTTCTGGCCTGCAAAGTTTCTGTTGAGAAATCAGCTGACAGTCGTATGGGTATTCCCTTGTAGGTAACTGAGTTTCTTTCTCTTGCTGCTTTTAAGATTCTCTCTTTGTCTTTTGCTCTTGGCATTTTAATTATGATGTGTCTTGGTGTGGTCCTCTTTGGATTCCTTTTGTTTGGGGTTCTCTGCACTTCCTGGAGTTGTAAGTCTATTTCTTTCAACAGGTAAGGGAAGTTTTCTGTCATTATTTCTTCAAATAGGTTTTCAATATCTTGCTCTCTCTCATCTTCTGGCACCCCTATAATTCTGATGTTGGTACACTTGAAGCTGTCCCAGAGGCTCCTTACACTATCTTCGTATTTTCGGATTCTTTTTTCATTTTGCTTTTCCGGTTGGGTGTTTTTTGCTTCTTCGCATTTCAAATCTTTGACTTGATTCTTGCGCTCCTCTGGTCTGCTGTTGGGAGTCTGTATAGTATTCTTTATTTCAGTCAGTGTATGCTTAATTTCTAGTTGGTTCTTTATCATAACATCGAGGGTCTCATTAGATTTCTTGTAGATCTCATTAAGTTTATCGGTGGCTTCTAGACAGTTCTTGAGAGACCTTAAAAGTGTGGTTCTGAACTCTATATCTTCCATTGACAATTTTGTCCTGTTTCTTTGTCTCCGCATTTTTTTTATGCTTTCTTGGTGCACCCCCTAGTGGTCTTTGTGCGGAGTCTTGTTGTAGTTAAGCCTTGATTGTTGTAGTTAATACTAGGGGGATTTGACCTCAGGCCAACTGGCTGTGAGAGTCAGCTGTGTCTGCAGTGGGAAAACTTCTGTCCTCTGGGGAGGTGCTAATCTAGCCTTTGCCTGAGGCTATCCGGCAAATGGCTCTGTGCAGGGCTTGGGCGGGGCAGGCGGGTTGCACTGGTCACACGGGATCAACAGGGCGGGCGGAGGGAAGCAGCCCTGTCCCCAGAGGCTCTGCCTCTCAGAGTCCCAGCAACCGCTGCAAACCTCAGAGAGAAAGCTGCCCTCGTGTTCCGACCGATGCCAGACAGTCCCGCTTCTCCCGTTTGAGTCTGGGTCCCTAGTGACTCGCCCAGAACTGGAGCTCAGGGCCTGAGCCTCCCTCCCGATTGAAAACAACAACCCCGCCCTCAGCCACCAGCCCGCTCCGCCCACACCTCCGCACCTTTGTATTTTCCGCACTGCGCCTCCTCTGAGTCTCGGTATGCTGTTCTCTTTCCTTCTAGTTGAAGAATTTCCCCTCAGCCAGCTTTCCTGTGGTTCTGGGTGATGTCCGTTCCGTCTTTTAGTTGTATTTTTGAAGTGGTTGTGCGAGGCAGCATTCTCCGGTGTTTACCTATGCCACCATCTTGGTTCTCTTAACAAATACTTATTACTATCTACTAGGGACTGCTGGGTGCTGGAGAGAAAGTGGGGAATATTATTTAGTTTCTATTTTTGAGCTTATGGATTGTACTTGGTTAATGCTTATTAGCATGCTCAACCTTTTAATCTTTATGTATTTTCTTTCCCACTAAGTTGAAAAGTATAAACATTTAAACTTCCTTGGGATTTTCATAGAGTACTCATACACTATGGAAACGTGTCAGTCTTTCAGTGAAGACTGAGCTCCTTAATATATCTTTTTTTTTTTTTCTGTATCTCTATCATCTCTCTCCCACCCAGTATCTGGAACAGAATCTTGCTAATGGTAAATGTTTTATAAATCCCAAATATTTGTTTGATGAACGCAAGAGGACTGTCTAAGCCAGAACATACACCAAACAGAACATAAGAATAAGCACCTTCTTTTCTGGAGTTTGGGCTGACAGGGAACTGGTTGGATAAATGTAGGTTTATCCATGGATTGGAATGTTATGCAGCCATTAAAACGTATGTAGTTGAAGTATATTTATTGATGTGGAAAAGTGTTCACAAAAAGTTGTTGGGAAAAGTGAAGCAACAAAGCCATATGAATTCTATGAACCCAATTTTAGTTTTAATTATTTTTTTTGTTAATCCTCATCTGAGGATATTTTTCCATTGATTTTTAGAGAGAGTGGAAGGGAGTGGAGAGAGAAGCATCAATGTTAGAGAGTCACATCAATTGGTTGCCTCCCATACGTGCCTGGACCAGGACCTGCAACTGAGGTACATGCCTTTGACTGGGACCCTTCAGTCTCCAGACCAACTCTCTATCCACTGAGCCAAACCAGCTAGGCCTGGACACATTTTTTTTTTCTTAATCTATTTTTACTGATTTCAGAGAGGAAGGGGAAGGAAGAGAGAGAGAGAGAAACATCAATGATGAGAGGGAATCATTGATCGGCTCCCTCCTGCACGCCCCCTACTGGGGACAGAACCCACAACCCGGGCATGTGCCCTTGACCAGACTCGAACCTGGGACCCTTGAGTCCGCAGGCCAATGCTCTATCCACTGAGCCAAACCGGCCAGGGCTGGACCCATTTTTTTGTGAAAGATAAAAGTGTTATACCCAGCAAAAAATTTCTTCAAAATGTTAACACTACCTCTCAGATTATGGAATTTTAATTTCCTTTTTGCTTATATAATTTTCAGATTTTGCTGATTAACTGTGTTATTTTATAGTTAGTTAAAAGTTAATACAGGAAATTAATGCATATAGTTTGACCAAATTTTTTTAACATACAGTTTTTGAAATAATAGTCTACATTTGGGAAACTTGAAAAATTACTTTTTATTATTTGATTGAGAGTTGGAGAAGTAATTCTCACTATTTTGTAGTACAGATAATTGTATAGTGAAAATGAATGCAGTATATTCATTTAGTAACATGTAAGAGGGAAAAAGGTTTTTATATTGTTCTTGCTGACCTAAGTTAGCATTTTTCTTCCCCTGCAGGCCAAGTGATGACCTCTTTGTACAGATCATGTGTATCCGAAAAGGGAAGAGAATGGTTGCCCGCATTCTCCCTTTCCTCTCCACAGAGCAAGCAGCTGACATTCTCATGACAACAGCCAGGAACCTCCCATTCCTTATCAAGAAGGATGCACAAGATGAGGTGATCCTCATGTGGAAAGGAGGGATGTCTTTCTTTGGGTCTTCATAGTATGATTTCTAGAATCCAAATTTATTTTCCTCCCCATTCTTTTTGTGTTGCTTCTCTAACCTTTGGCAGTGTGACTTATTTAAAACAAAACTTTACTCCAGACCTATTTTTTAATTCCATGTTTCATCCCACGTACCATGTTTCTAAACATAAAGAAAACAGCAATTCCTTCTTATTTAACATAGTTATAAAGCTGTGATCTGTATCTGAATTACTTGGGAAGCAAATAATTTAGCCCTATCCCAAATATGCTGAATCAGAATTTACAGAGGAAAGATCAGGGACATTGTATCTATAACAAGGTCCCAGCTGAATATGATGCTACTAAAGTTTAGAAACTTATGGTCTTGGTTACTTTGCTAGATATAAAGTAGCACTCATTGGGATGTTGTCACCAGCTCGACATTTACCTGTAGACTGAGTTGAATGGCATCCTGCCCACAAGAATCAGGCCAGTACTTTTAAGTAACTTTTATCACAATCTAAACTAGGTTGGATATTGAAACATGATTATCAAGTTTACAAGTTAACTCTTGGTGAGAATTATTTTCTGCTTATTCCTGTCATAACACTTGAAAGATTAGCAGAATTTAGAACAGTCTTAGAAGTTCAAAACAAGAAATTAATAGGGTAGCACAAAGGGCTAATATTATTAACTGTGAGCTTCAGAAAAATAGAATTAATGATAGTGAACCTGTTAGAATAGACTACAAGTTAAGTAACAACCATCTGGTAATAGTCCCAGGAAACATGATTTCAAGATACTTTATCAATGGTGTAACATGAAAGAATTGAAAATTACTCCTTTTGAAATGAGTTGAAAAAATACCTTCTTGAAATTTTAGCATCTGCAGAAGAAATGAATGTGAAGTTTATGTCTCATCATTGGAAAAAGTGAATTGAGACAAGACAAGTACATTTTTAAAAGAATTCAAGAATGAAAAATGGGTTGGAAGTTAAGGATTTGAGGTTTATCCTAGAAAATAGAAGACAAGAATAAAAGTAACCGCAACTTTACAGCATATAAATTATAGGCAAGGAGGCAGGCATTCATTCATCATAATCTCAGAGGAACTCATAAATAGAAACAAGTTGGGAAAGCAGAAACCAACTTGAAGGGGCTCCCATTGGTAAAAGTGGGATTATTTTTATCTTAAAGAAAAATTACAGAAGTGGGTTGAGGTAGACATATTTAATAAGTTTATAATAATACAAAGAAATAAGTCAATCATCCTCAGAGATTGCTAGGCCATCAACTTAATATTCTGAAAACTGATAAGTAAAGGAAAAGAAGCTTTCATTCTGCCTTTCCATTATAACCAGAGAGTCACCATATTATAATAGAAAGTTCTTTATAGAAGAACTAGAGGCCTGCTGCATGAAATTTGTGGCGGGAAGGGGGATGTCCCTCAACCTCACCTGTATCCTCTCACAATCTGGAACCCCGTGGGATGTCGGGCCTAAACCGGCAGTCGGACATCTCTCTCGCAATCCTGGACGCTGCATGCACCAGTGACCATACTTTTCATACAGGTCAAAGGCATCTTGCTATTATATGGGCAGCTACATTTTTTTGCCCTGATTATAAAAAGTAGTATATAACATGATCTTTCTGAGTTAGTAGTACCATTTTCCCTATCTTGTGGGTGGAAAAACTGAAGCAGAGAGAAGTAATTGACTTTGTCACACAGTTGTAAGTGTCAGAATCAGGGCTGACCACAAAATGTGCAAGCTAGAGTCCATGCATTTCATCACTACATCATCCTGTTTTTTCAGTGTTAGAGTAGCCTTGCCAGGTTTTAATTTTTAAATTTAAGAGACTGTTCCCAATACATAGGGTAGGATCCCTATGCCTGGCCAGTGATCAGGGCCATCTGTGGGGCAACCGGCAGGCGGGGTGATCGGGGGCATTGGCCGGAGGCTTGGTGCCACCCACCGGCCAGCCCCACCCCCCAATCACTGCCGCCAGTCACCTCCCTCTCAGGGGGCAGACACTCAACACAGAATGCAGGAGCTGCGTGAGGGCAGCTCCTGTGTTGGGCATCTGCCCCCTGGTGGTCAGTTTGCCTCATAGCAACCGGTCATTCAACCGTTTGGTCGATTTGCACATTAGGGTTTTATTATATAGGATTCCAGCTACTAAATGCAAAAATATGATAACATTAGGAAATCATTTTACAACCCCCAAATGGAAATGCAGTCAATCTGGACTGCAGTCATTACTGATACTAAAAGCATTAGGTAAATGGTGGATGGAGGACTTTACATGGGTTGGAGCGAGCTAACACCTGAACCCACTGGTCACTGTTCACAACACTAACAGGGAACTACCAGATGCCGTGTGCATCTTGACATGATGCAGTAGAAAGCACATAGTTCTACCAGCCCTCCATCAAACCTCCCCACCCTCCCCCCTTTGAACCTGAATCTAATCAAACCTTTAATTCCATCAGTTTATATGGGGAATATAGAAGATTCTGTTAAATTATACCACCCAGGTGCAAATAACCAGATCCAAAATATGGAACAAATGACCCAGTTTCTTAAACAAATAAATGATATGGGAAGAGGAGATGGACAGTGACAGAGGACCTGTTGTTAACAGATTTTCAAAGCCTTACCAACCAACCAAGTGCTGTCAGTGAGTGGATCTTATTTGAACTATGATTAGAATAATTCAGCTGCTAAAAGACATTTTTGAAATAATTGGAGAAATTTTAATTTGGAGTAGATATTAGATGATATTGAGGAATTAAATTTTGCTAGGTGCAATAATATGAGAGGTTTTGTTAGAGATACAAACTGAAGTATTTATAGATGAAATTATAAAGGAGGAACAGATTGAATAAAATTCGGCAAAATGTTTAATTATTGAAGTTGCATGATGGGTAGGTACAAGGACTTCATTATACTGCTCTTTATACTTTTGTGTATATTTTTAAATGCTTTGATTTTTTTTTTAATATATTTTATTGATTTTTTACAGAGAGGAAGGGAGAGAGATAGAGAGTTAGAAACATCGATGAGAGAGAAACATCGATCAGCTGCCTCCTGCACATCTCCCACTGGGGATGTGCCCGCAACCCAGGTACATGCCCTTGACCGGAATTGAACCTGGGACCTTTCAGTCCGCAGGCCGACGCTCTATCCACTGAGCCAAACCGGTTTTGGCATTGCTTTGATTTTTAAAGCTTTGTTTATTTAGAGTAGTGGACCACAAAAAAGTAGCCTACTCTCCATCCTTGGCTATTATATAAAGTAAAACCAGCCATCATTTTTTTATACCAGGGGCATTGAGTGCTGGAAGCACTTTTGATTTCCTTTCATGTGTTGTAACCTAGTTATGTTGGTAGCTCTGTATTTTAACTTTTCAGTTCAGGCTAATGACCAGAAGGAATGAATGGCTAGCAAGGTAGAATTCAACTTCCTTGGGTTCTGTTTCAGGCTACTAGCTCTATAACTCTGACCACTGAGCTTAGTCAATTAGCTTTTCTAATAATCTATAAAATTACTAAATAATTTCTCTGTTTCCTCTTTGAGCTTTTATAAAGATAAACCAAAATAGAATTAAGTCTGAAAATACTTCTCAGTAATTCTGTAGTACTCCCTCTTAGACACAATATATTGAAATTGCCTAAATATTCATCTCTGTGTTTTTGATCCCTGAGGGTCTGTCTGTCCTTTTAACTTTTGTTCTTAGCCTGTGTTCTTGGTACATTGTAGGAATTTAAATATTTGTGAGATAAATTAAAATACTGGTGTTTTATCATGAATCTTTTGTGTTGGAGAAGTGATTTTATTCCCTGGGTTCACACAAGTCATGATACTTCATATGCAAATTGAATTGAAAAAGTTCTCAGTAGATACCTTAGAATACTTTGTTAGGATTCTAGTAGTATCTGCTAGACTTGTCAGCCCATATTTGTTAAATCTCGCCTCAGGCAGTTGAGTATGTAGCTGAGCAAGCACCCACCTATCCAGGCTCACCCACTGAGGGTGACTGAAGTAACAGTTGCCAGGATCTAATGTTTTATTTTTTTTTTTCTCTGTAGGTGCTGCCGTGCTTATTGAGTCCCTTTTCCCTCCTCCTCTATCATCTTCCGTCAGTGACTGTCACCAGCCTTCTGCAACAGCTAATGAACCTACCTCAGAGTGCAGCTGCACCAGCACCTTCTAATCCTCACCTCACTGCTGTTCTCCAGAACAAGGTGGTCTTGCCTTTTTCGTCCCTGAACTTTACAAGTCTTCTAAATTTGAGTTACAGATAACACTAATGGCTGCTGTGGGTATGGCAACTTGTTAAAAATGTTTCCTTCATCTGGAGTTACATTAAGTTTCTAGTAACAGAAGCCAGAATTAACAGTGGTTTCAACAAAATAGGATTTTATGTATCTCATGTCAGTAAATCTGGTGTAGTGGCTCCATGCATGGTCAGGGATGCAAGCTCATTCGGTTTGCCTTCTCTGCTATCTTAGTAGTGGCTGCCATACTCATGACTCCTCTGGGTCCATGATGATTGTAGAATTCAAGGCTCCACTTTGCATCAGGAAGAGAGGTGGGTACAGATGGCTGAAACATGTGGATTAGCTGTCTGTCTTCCTTATGGACCTTTTCCAGGAATTTTCACCAACAATTACTTAAAATCTCAATGGCCAGTCTTTGTCACATGCCACACCTAACTGCAGAAAGGGTGGAAACATCTTTTAGTTCACACCATTGTCATCACAAAATTAGAGTTCTCAAATAGGAGGAGAAAAGTATATTACAGTGGGCAAGGAGCAGCCTTTGTTACATGACTTTACATAGAAGAACATCCCATTTCATATTTCATTTACATCAAATTAAGTATCCAGAGACTCATAGGGGAAGCATAAACAGAAGAAGGAGCATGAGCGTTTAAACAGAGCAAGTTTTCATTCCTTGCCTGCCACTGTCTAGATTTGCGACTCTGAATAGATTATTTCATTTTGCTGAGCCATAGGTTCCTGGTCTGTGATGATGTCTACTTCAGTGTTGATGTCCACTTCAGGATTTTCCTATTACTGAGATGCGAGAACAGCTGTGAACAGTTCATTGTAATGCCTCATTCATAGGCACTCATTAAGGGTCATCTGTTAAAGTGAAAAAGTAGGCTCTTTCCTTGCCCCCCAAAACTGTCAAAGCATGACTCTGGAGAGGGAGCGGATGCAGTGCCTCAGGGACTTCAGATGGGGTTCTGGCATGATCAGTTATGTGCCCTCCATGTAATTTGGTTTCCTGGTACTAATTTTGATAAAGGCAGTAGAAAATTGTGAGATCAGATGAGATTGTATAGCCCAGTGTTGTTTTTCATATATGAAGGGAACTTTTGGGGAAAGGCAGTGTTATCCTCTATGAGGGGAACTCAGAAAGGTGGGATGGAATCTCAGAATATCCCCATCTTCTCTTTATGATCCATCATAACTGTGACTCAGACATTAACCCAGTACTTCTGGTCCCTATTGCATTTTCATTCTATGCCCTTTTAGACTGCATGTTTCCTGCTTTTACCACTACCCCATAAGTAAAACAAATCTTTATATATTTTAATTTCTAAAGCATGTTGTGGAAATCGTGATAATCCTAGATATGGTGAATATAAACTTCTTTTAATTTTTTTAGACTCTTATTAGCATCCTATCTATACCTTTATATTTCCAGATAGATGTGTCCTTTTTTAAGAAAATCTTTTCTTGCCCTGACCGGTTTGGCTCAGTGGATAGAGCGTTAGCCTGCAGACTGAAAGGTCCCAGGTTCGATTCTGGTCAAGGGCATGTACCTGGGTTGCAGGCACATCTCCAATAGGGAGTGTGCAGGAGGCAGCTGGTCAATGTTTCTCTCTCATCGATGTTTCTAACTCTCTATCCCTCTCCCTTCCTCTCTGTAATAAATTAATAAAATATATTTTAAAAAAAAAAGAAAAGAAAATCTTTTCTTTGTATCCTGATCATTTCAGTTATGCTTCTTTGTACATTTCCCACAGGTTTTACTACCTGTTTTTCTTAATTCAAAATATCTTGCTCTTTTTAATGTTTTTTATTTTGTCCATGAACTTTAATTTTCGGTATCAAAGTTTGTCTTCATTTAACTTCCCTTTTTAATTCATTTATCCATGGCAAGGAAAAGTTATCTTTTTATCACAGGGTGGGGTTGAGAGGCAGTGAGAACTGTAGGACACTGGGACTTTTGTTTCCATTGATTATGTGTTTTGCTGCTGTGCAAGGAGAAAGGCACAGCGTCTCCCCTCATGGTTGTCTGATCTTTGCCCAGTCTCACTGAAGAGCACAGCGGTAGTCATTTGATTTAGTGCCATTTCCCCTGCGTGGTGGCGCAGAGGAGGAGATGCAATATTGAACTTGATTCCCTTTCTCCTCTTGTAGTTTGGCCTGTCACTGCTCCTTGTTGTCCTCAGCCGTGGGGAAGACCTACAGAGTTCAGACCCTGCTACAGAATCAACAGAAAACAACCAGTGGTTAGTCTGCGCTGTATTTCTTTTAAATTCTTTTAGGTAATCTTTTCATTCTTTTTCTTACATTATTATTATCGATTTTCCCTTTCAGGATGCAAGTGATGTTCATGGCAACCCGAGAGCTTCTGAGGATTCCCCAAGCAGCCCTAGCCAAGCCAATCTCTATCCCCACAAACCTAGTATCCCTCTTTTCTCGCTATGTTGACCGACAGAAACTGAATTTGCTGGAGACAAAACTGCAGTAAGTTAGCAACAGGATAATTCCTATCTCACTAACGTTGGCACTTTAGAAGTTATGAGGAGGAGGTTTGGGGGCGGGGTGGGCATAAATATGAATTTGGTGGAAGAGATTAAAGACTTCTATCAAATATATGAGTACCTGCTAGATATCAAACACTGTACTGGGTGCAGTAGCACCCTCATAGTTGACTGAATGCTAAGAGTAGAGACGAGACATCTTTGGTGTTTCGTTAAGATAATTTTTACAAGGATGTAATTTTATGAAAAACATTGCCTTCTGTTTTAACTCATTTATACAAACAAGTTTCCTTTCTTTCTTTATACCTGTAGGCTAGTTCAGGGGATACGATAAAAGATCTGCACATGTGTCCTGTACCTCTTTTTGGCTGTCACCTGCACTGCTGCCATCACCAATGGAGTGTTTGTAATGAGGGAGGGGAGGTAGCTCATTCCTCAGAGCGTCTTATGTGGCCGAGTCCTGTTCACAAGGATTGTCTCTAAATGCCAGGTGTTTCCCCACTGCTCTGTGACGTTCGGCTGAGTGATACTTCTGCTGGTTTCTTCTTACCTTCTCTGTTACAATTCTGCATGTCCTACTTTTACTCAATTCTTCTCAATTTTGCATTTTCTTTGCTCTAGAGACACAAATATAATCTCTCCCTTTATCCCACCACTATTCCATTTCAGAGTAGATTATAGCCTGCCAAAGGATCCCTCCCCACATCTTATTGAAGTCTTTTTCATTGCCCCATATTAATATGACTATAGGAGAACCAATTAAATAGAAATTAATATACATGTGTGTGTACACACACCCCTCTACATGTGTTTCTGTGGTCTCCAGAGGATCCTTAAAGAATGAGTTTTAGAGGGAGAAATATTCAGTTGACATCCCTCCTCTAAACACAAACTAGCTGATATGTTTCTAGTCCTTATAATTAATTTGGTGAGTTCCCCTTGTTTTAATATAAATACAGAATATGCCAGCATATTAATAAAATCAGAACTCAATTGGCTGACACCCAGCTCTAGACTGAGAAGTCCTTTTTTTCTTCCCCACTTGAGTTTCCTTTGTTTCTGTTCACCTGAATGGAAACAGCATACGGTTTAAGCCTTTATCCTGCTACAGCGACAGTGTACTTGAGCCTGTCCTCCCAAGTGTGTGGAAGATTGCCCAAGATGATTCTAACTTAGAGCCTCCTTCCACAGTGTAGCTTTTGTCTTCCTGAGACTACTTCAGTAAGCCATGCTTTTACCTCTCTCTTCCCCATTTTTATTTGGTGTCCTGGATAGAAACCTCCAAATGTAACCATGGAAGCTAAGTTGGGCTTGCTTTGTTCTTCATTCTCCATGCCATGGGCAGAACTGCTGTCCTTGCTACTTCATCTCACTCAGGTCCCATCCCAGGACCTAGACATGAATCCTAGCAAGGACAGCCTTCCGTTACCTTTTCACTTGTCCCTCTCCCATTCAGCAGTCAACCAGGATAAGAGGTTTTGTTCCATGGTGATTATAGCCCTCAAGAAAAATCTGAATCCATTTTAAATGTACTTTTTGTTGTTCTCACCTTTTGAATGTAGTGGGGAAAGACAAGTTGTGATGTTTAAAGAGAATAAACATTTTGCACATAACATGTATTGTACAACAGTAAAATCCTCCATTATAACAAGTTGTCCTTGTCTCCATCTCCATTTCTTCTCATTCTGTAGCCCCAGGCTCCACCAGCTGTTCCCAGTGACATTACTAGCTTCCCTCTGCCATTATCAACTGACTTATTTCCACTGGGCACCTTTCCTGCCTTTTCACTTCACAACCGATCAAGTGAATACTTGATTAGTATTTCTTCTCTGCTTTTTTGTTTGGTTCTAATAAAGATTAAAGTTTCTAAATTTACATTTTTATAGGGAATTGTAAATAAATACAAATTGTATACTTGAAAAAATGTGTGCCAGCATTTCTCCTTTCTTGTTACTTCTTAGCATGATTTTTAATTTGTTTCTAACATACTTAGGTAGACTGGCAAGTCTCGGTGTTGGAAATTGGTAAGGATATTACCTGATGTTTTTACTTTTTTAATGTTATTGTAATGTTTACATGGTAACTTTCCTTTAAAAACCTAGAGTGCTTTCTGTCCTCCTCTCTCCATTTTAACTACAAAATGGAATTATGAATTGTAGATATACTGTAGGTCATCTTTTTCATGCCATCTATCTCTAGGCACATGTGATTTTTAAGAGATTCATTTAACCCAGTTTGGCCTTAAGCTGCCCTCATAATTCATCTTCTCAAAGGAGATGGGGGAAATTTTCCAATTTGTTAGAGTAAATTTGTTATTTCAGATAAAAAGGTTCTAATCCCTTTCTCTGCCATTGTGGTGTGTGCAGTTAAGTCTTTTCCTCGCCATATCTTCTCACAAGACTTTGAGAATCAGGCAATTCTTAACCAACAAACAAAAGCAGAATCATCCCATTCCCCAATGTATTTGGCTGAAAACTGTTAATAAAATCTGGTACAACTCCAAGAGGAGACACTAGAGCAGCGGTTCTCAACCTGTGGGTCGCGACCCTTTTGGCGGTCGAACAACCCTTTCACAGGGGTCGCCTAAGACCATCCTGCATATCAGATATTTACATTATGATTCATAACAGTAGCAACATTACAATTATGAAGTAGCAACGAAAATAATTTTATGGTTGGGTCACAACATGAAGAACTGTATTTAAAAGGCCAGAAGGTTGAGAACCACTGCACTAGAGTAAGACCAAGGTGAATCTGTAAGGAATTGTATGTAAGATGGCACACATACTTGTGCTGTGTCACAGTCACTAGCCTCTACCATATCTAGCTGGGAACATCACCTCTCTGGACAGTTGGGTATATTCTACTGAGACAATCATTTTTCTCTTTGTTTCTGTTTCTCCTGCACTAGTTGATTGGTTCAATAATAAATGCGAGATACTTTGAAAAAAAAGATTCAGCGAACAAGTAGAGAAAGAGAAAAAAAAATAAAAATTATAAAGAGGGAGGGAGACGTTGGCTGCCTACCTACTTGAAGCTTATTTTCCCCCTCATGAGTAGACGGGCTCCTTGAGATAAACTGTTTGCCCAAGGTGACAGCTGAGCAGCAGAGCATGGGACTCCTGCAGGATGTTCTTATTGCTGTGAAGGAGTAAAACTATCTTGTAGTGGATCTGTTCTCAACCCTAAGTTAAAGAAAAAGTCTTATTAGATAGTGAGGTTTGGTTAGAGAGGAACTGGCCTAGGAGTGTCCTCGAAACCCAAAAGCATGGATTCAGAATGTCAGAGTGAGGAAGACCTTAGTGGTTGGTCTACCAGCCAGGGAGCTGAAGCTGAGGGGGCAGAGGCTAGTTCAGGTCCCTGGGCTGGAACGCCAGTTTGAATGCTCTGCTCCTCTCTAGGTTACAGTTCATAGCCTGGGAAATGCTGGGCCTGCTCCAGAAAATGTTATCTATAATAACTAAAGTGTAATATGCTAATTAGACCAGAAGTCCTTCCACCGAGCCGGAGGGAAGCCTGGGTCCCAGGTGCCTGGCGGCAGCCACAGGAAAACCCAGGTCCCAGGTGCCAGAGGGAAGCCAGTGTCAGCAGCTGGGGGAAGGAAGGCCTACTCTTGCACGAATTTCGTGCATTGGGCCTGCAGTAGTGTTTCTTGTGAGAAAAAGCCCGAGTTTAAGAAGTAAGTGCTTTGGCCCTGGCTGGGTAGCTCTGTTGGTTAGAATGTCATCCAAATAGACTAAGATTGCATTGGTGGTATAGTAGTGAGCATAGCTGCCTTCCAAATACACTAAGATTGCAGGTTCAGTCCCTGGTCAGGGCACATATAAGAATCAATGACTGAATGAATGAATGGAACAAATAGATGTTTCTCCTAACTAAATAAGTGCTTCTACTTTATGAATGTAACACTAGCTTATAATATCCACCAACTGATTTTGAGTCATGTAATATATTCAAGATATTTTTTGTTCTAGGCACTTTAAAAGTCACTTAAGACTCTAACTAATGAGAGCAATATTAACCTCCCTGCTAATGTATGTCAAAAATAATCAAATTAGGTGAGGCCTAAAATAGTTTACGACAGTGTGTCACAGTTAAAAACTGACATCAATGCATGTAATCTTAACCTATCCTATCTCATAAAAGAGAAACATGGTAATTAGCCATACCTCCGCTACCCTTCCCATTGGCTAATCAGGGCGATATGCAAATTAACTGCCAGCCAAGATGGCGGCCGGCACCCAGGCAGCTTGAAGCGAACATGAGGCTTGCTTGCTTCAGTGACGGGGGACTCCAACGTTCCCCGCCTGCCGCTGCCGGCCTCTGAGCTTGCAGTTTGAAACGTTGTTATAAATATAGAAGCTAAACAAAACCCCAGAAACCTGCTTTCAGCCAGCCGGGATCTCAGAGCTGGAGTTGAAACAGTGTCTTGATTATAGAAACCAAACAAACCAAATACCTGCTTTCAGCAGCAGAGGCCTCAGAGCTGGAGCCAAGCCTCAAAGCTAAAGCTGGCCCAGAATAAAAAAAAAAAAAAAGGAGCGGTTGGGAACTTCAGTCACCCGCCAGCCTGAAAACAGCCCTCAGCCCCTCACCCAGACTGGCCAGGCACCCCAGTGGGGAACCCCACCCTGAAGGGGGTGTGACCAGCTACAAACAGCCATCATCCCCTCATCCAGGCTGGCCAGGCACCCCAGTGGGGACCCCCACGCTGATCCAGGACACCCTTCAGGGCAAACCAGCCGGCCCCCACCCGTGCACCAGGCCTCTATCCTATATAGTAAAAGGGTAACATGCCTCCCAGCACCGGGATCAGCAGAGCCGCGAGGCCTCCCGGCACCGGGATCAGTGTGACAGGGGGCAGCGCCCAAACCCCCTGATCACCCTGCAGCTCTATGTGTGACAGGGGGCGAGGCCACAACCTCCCTATCTGCCCTGCTCTGTTCATGACAGGAGAAGGCACCCCAACCTCCTGATCAGCCCTGCTCTGTGCCTGATAGGGGGGAGCTCCGCAACCCCCTGATCTCCCTGCAGCTGTGGGTGTGACGGTGCGGTGCTCCAACCACCCCCGCCACGGACCCTGCTGTGTGTGTGACGGGGTAGAGCCATAACCTCCCCATCAGCCCTGCCCTGAGTGTGACAGTGGCGGCGCCCCAACCCCCTGATCAGCCCTGCTCTGTGGGTGATAGAGGGCGGCGCCCCAACCGCCCCCCACAGGCCCTGCTCTGTGTGTGACAGGATGCAGCACCCCAACCCCCTGATCTGCCCTGCTCTGTGAGTGACAGGGGGGAGCTCCTCAACCCCCTGATCGGCCTTGCTCTGTGCGTGACAGGGGGTGGCGCCACAACCCCCCAATCGGCCCTACCCTGAGCGTGACTGAGGGTGGCATCACATCCTCCTGATCTGCCCTGCTCTGTGCATGACAGGGGGCGGCGCCCCAACTCCCCAATCAGCCCTGCTCTGAGCCTGACCAGGGGCTGCACCTAGGGATTGGGCCTGCCCTCTGCCACCCGGGAGCAGGCCTAAGCCAGCAGGTCATTATCTCCCGAGGGGTCCCAGACTTCGAGAGGGCACAGGCCGGCCTGAGGGATCCCACCCTCCCCCGCTGAGTGCACAAATTTTTTGTGCACCGGGCCTCTAGTATAAAATAAAGAGGTAATATGCAAATTGACCCTCACGCCCTCACAAGATGGCTGCCTATGACCAGGCCGTCTAGGGGGTTAGTGAGGGACAACCAAACAACTGAACAGCAAGCTGCATGGGGCGGCCAGGCCGGCAAGGGATTAGTGAGGGGTGACCAGACTGGTGGGGTAGGGGGGGCCAGTTGGGTGCGACCAGGCCAGTGGAGGGAGGGTAGTTGGGGGTGACCAGGCCAGTGGCAGAGGGCAGTTGGGTAGACCAGGCCAGCAGGGGCAGCAGTTAGGGGTGACCAGGCAGGCAGTTGAGTGATTAGGAGCCAGCGGTCCAGGATTGTGAGAGGGATCCCAGATTAGAGAGGGTGCAGGCTGGGCTGAGGGGACTTCCCCCCCCCCCTCCTGTGCATGAATTTCATGCACTGGGCCTCTAGTACTAGTATAATAAAAAGTCCTTGATAAGTAATAGGTAACAGACTTGTGAATAATGACTTTCACACATGAAAATGAAAGTAATATTAAGTTCACCCCACTAGTAATCAGAGATATAAAGTGTTTTTTTCACTTATCAATCTAACAAAATTTTTAGAAATAATACTAGTGAGCCCAGCCAGTGTAGTTCAGTGTTGACCTATGAACCAGGAGGCTATGGTTTGATTCCCAGTCAGGGCACATGCTCAAGGTTGCTAGCTTGATCCCCAGTAGGGAGCATGCAGGAGGCAGCAGATCAATAATAACCTAAATCAAACCTGAAAGCTGAGAAACATCTATAAGGGAGCTAGGGAATCAGTAATGTGTGTACTTAACCAGTTGTGAATAGAATGTATTTTTTAATATATTTTATTGATTTTAGACAGGAAGGGGGAGAGAGGAAAATATCAATGATGAGAGAGAATCATTGATTGGCTGCCTCCTGCACACCCACTACTGGGGATTGAGCCCACAACCTTGGGCATATGCCCTTGACTGGAATGGAACCCGGGACTCTTCAGTCCACAGGCTGACGCTCTATCCACAGAGCCAAACCAGGTAGGGCAGAATATTTTAAATTGCTTAGATTTTGTACCAATCTAAAGAACCAGAGAAAAATTTGCATATAACTTGCAAAGGGAAAGGATCTCAAGTTCCACCTTTCCCCCCCGCCCAAAAAAAAACACAAAACAAAACACAGTTAACAGTTTAGTGTATTGTCCTCCAAGTAATTTCTATATGCATATGCAATCATAGTTAGAATTATAGACATTTTTACTTTTTTTCTCAGAATCATGATGCATCTTTTCTATGTCACTAT